GTGTGGCTGTAGGTGTGGTGGCTGTAGGTGTGGCTGTAGGTGTGGTGGCTGTAGGTGTAGGTGGCTGTAGGTATGGTGGCTGTAGGTGTGGTGGCTGTAGGTGTGGCTGTAGGTGTGGCTGTAGGTGTGGTGGCTGTAGGTGTGGTGGCTGTAGGTGTGGTAGGTGTGGTGGCTGTAGGTATGGTAGGTGTGGTAGGTGTGGTGGCTGTAGGTGTGGTAGGTGTGGTAGCTATAGGTATGGTAGGTGTGGTAGGTGTGGTGGCTGTAGGTATGGTAGGTGTGGTAGGTGTGGTGGCTGTAGGTGTGGTAGGTGTGGTAGCTATAGGTATGGTAGGTGTGGTAGGTGTGGTGGCTGTAGGTATGGTAGGTGTGGTAGGTGTGGTGGCTGTAGGTATGGTAGGTGTGGTAGGTGTGGTGGCTGTAGGTATGGTAGGTTTGGGAGGGGTGGTGACTGTAGGTGTGGCTGTAGCTGTAGGTGTGGCTGTAGCTGTAGTTGTGGCTGTAGCTGTAGGTGTGTCTGTAGCTGTAGGATTGGCTGTAGGTGTAGGTGTAGTTGTAAGTGTGGCTGTAGGTGTGGCTGTAGGTGTGGTGGCTGTATGTGTGGTGGCTGTAGGTGTGGTGGCTGTAGGTGTGGTGGCTGTAGGTGTGGTGGCTGTAGCTGGAGGATTGGCTGTAGGTGTAGCTGTAGCTGTATGTGTGGTGGCTGTAGGTGTAGGTGTAGGTGTGGTGGCTGTAGGTGTGGTGGCTGTAGCTGTAGGATTGGCTGTAGGTGTAGCTGTAGCTGTATGTGTGGTGGCTGTAGGTGTAGGTGTAGGTGTGGTGGCTGTAGGTGTAGCTGTATGTGTGGCTGCAGGTGTGGTGGCTGTAGGTGTGGTGGCTGTAGGTGTGGGTGTAGTTGTAAGTGTGGCTGTAGGTGTGGTGGCTGTAGGTGTGGTGGCTGTAGCTGTAGGATTGGCTGTAGGTGTAGCTGTAGCTGTATGTGTGGTGGCTGTAGGTGTGGCTGTAGCTGTAGGTGTGGCTGTAGCTGTAGGATTGGCTGTAGATGTAGCTGTAGTTGTAAGTGTGGCTGTAGGTGTGGTGGCTGTAGGTGTGGCTGTAGTTGTAAGTGTGGCTGTAGGTGTGGTGGCTGTAGTTGTAGGATTGGCTGTAGGTGTAGCTGTAGCTTTAGGTGTGGCTGTAGCTATAGCTGTAGGTGTAGGTGTGTGACTGTAGGTGTAGGTGTGGCTGTAGGTGTGGCTGTAATTACATTGTCTTAGAATAGCTAGATACAATATGACAACACATTGTGATCAATAGTAAATCACATCCTAGAAAATTGTTTGAAAATTGGATTATTGTCATATCATAATTCAATTAATTTTGTTCGTTTTCAGTAAGCATTTGATTTTACAACTAAAATCTTCTTTCTACTTGCATTGTATAGACTCTAGATATTTAGAAAACCTATGGAAGTTTGATTTTTCATATCTAACAGAACCAGTGCATACATACATGATGATCTGTTATATTTACATTTTTGTTGTATGTGTCTTTGCAGCCTGAGTTTCATTTGGCCCCGACACCAGACTTAGACAATGTGACAGATAGATGTCTGGTGTCTGGACCAGAGGTAACTTGGGCTAGTGCCTTTGGTGTTTGTATCACAGGAAGATTAATGTCTTGTGATGACTCTTTACAGATTACATTGTTGAGAAATGTGAGGAAGGCAGTACTACTTGGGAGAAGGTCCCCGGTATTGTCAAGGGCACCTCCCACCCTATCAAGGGGCTCAAGGAGGGCAAAAAGTACAAGTTCCGTGTCAAGGCCGAGAACATGTACGGAGTTAGTGAGCCTCTGGAGACTACTAAACCTACACTGGCCAAGAATCCTTATGGTAAGTTTTCAGTTTGAAATGGTTCAGATCTCTGCTCTATTACCAAATATACAATTGCCGGGAATAAAGGGAAGCACACAATCATTATATTAGAATTGACCTTAGGGTCGGCCACACCCCCAGGGACTTAGTCTCTTGTTCACAACTTATAAACAGTTGAGATTTCAACCCTATAACTATAAACAGATGCTGAACTTGAAGACTTGGATACAAAAATGGTACCTGAATTGGCTCCTGGGACATAACCCATCCCTGGAGTCTTATTTNTGGGTGATACAGGCCCTCTGGGTCTCCACAGTATCCTCATCCTACTGTTGTTTTACCCACAGATATCCTGGTGGGTGATACAGGCCCTCTGAGTCTCCTCAGTATCCTCATCCTACTATTGTTTTACCCACAGATATCCTGATGGGTGATACAGGCCCTCTGAGTCTCCTCAGTATTCTCATCCTACTATTTAAACAGATGCTGAACTTGAAGACTTGGATACAAAAATGGTACCTGAATTGGCTCCTGGGAGATAACCCTTCCCTGGAGTCTTATTTGCAATATTACTTTCAATGAGAAGATTATGTTATGAATCCTCAGATATCCTGGTGGGTGATACGGGCCCTCTGAGTCTCCTCAGTATCCTCACCCTACTATTGTTGTACCCACAGATACCCCTGGTGGGTGATACAGGCCCTAGACTTGGATACAAAAATGGTACCTGAATTGGCTCCTGGGAGATAACCCTTCCCTGGAGTCTTATTTGCAATATTACTTTCAATGAGAAGATTATGTTATGAATCCTCAGATATCCTGGTGGGTGATACGGGCCCTCTGAGTCTCCTCAGTATCCTCATCCTACTATTTTTTTACCCAGAGATACCCCTGGTGGGTGATACAGGCCCTCTGAGTCTCCACAGTATCCTCATCCTTCTATTGTTTTACCCACAGATACCCCTGGTGGGTGTTACAGGCCCTCTGAGTCTCCTCAGTATCCTCACCCTACTAATGTTTTACCCCCAGATACCCCTGGTGGGTGATACAGGCCCTCTGAGTCGCCTCAGTATCCTCATCCTACTATTGTTTTACCCACAGATTTCCTGGTGGGTGATACAGGCCCTCTGAGTCTCCTCAGTTTCCTCACCCTACTATTGTTTTACCCACAGATACCCCTGGCGGGTGATACAGGCCCTCTGAGTCTCCTCAGTATTCTCATCCTACTATTTAAACAGATGCTGAACTTGAAGACTTGGATACAAAAATGGTACCTGAATTGGCTCCTGGGCCATAACCCATCCCTGGAGTCTTATTTGCAATATTACTTTCAATGAGAAGATTATGTTATGAATCCTCAGATGCCCCTGGTGGGTGACACAGGCCCTCTGAGTCTCCTCAGTATCCTCATCCTACTGTTGTTTTACCCACAGATATCCTGGTGGGTGATATAGGCCCTCTGAGTCTCCTCAGTATCCTCACCCTACTATTGTTGTACCCACAGATACCCCTGGTGGGTGATACAGGCCCTAGACTTGGATACAAAAATGGTACCTGAATTGGCTCCTGGGAGATAACCCTTCCCTGGAGTCTTATTTGCAATATTACTTTCAATGAGAAGATTATGTTATGAATCCTCAGATATCCTGGTGGGTGATACAGGCCCTCTGAGTCCCCTCAGTATTCTCATCATACTATTGTTTTACCCACAGATACCCCTGGCGGGTGATACAGGCCCTCTGAGTCCCCTCAGTATTCTCATCATACTATTGTTTTACCCACAGATACCCCTGGTGGGGGATACAGGCCCTCTGAGTCTCAACAGTATCCTCATCCTACTATTGTTTTACCCACAGATATCCTGATGGGTGATACAGGCCCTCTGAGTCTCCTCAGTATCCGCACCCTACTATTGTTTTACCCACAGATATCCTGGTGGGTGATACAGGCCCTCTGGGTCTCCTCAGTATCCTCATCCTACTATTGTTGTACCCACAGATACCCCTGGTGGGTGATACAGGCCCTAGACTTGGATACAAAAATGGTACCTGAATTGGCTCCTGGGACATAACCCATCCCTGGAGTCTTATTTGCAATATTACTTTCAATGAGAAGATTATGTTATGAATCCTCAGATGCCCCTGGTGGGTGACACAGGCCCTCTGAGTCTCCTCAGTATCCTCATCATACTATTGTTTTACCCACAGATACCCCTGGTGGGTGTTACAGGCCCTCTGAGTCTCCTCAGTATCCTCACCCTACTATTGTTTTCCCCACAGATATTCTGGTGGGTGATACAGGCCCTCTCGGTCTCCTCCGTATCCTCACCCTACTATTGTTTTACCCACAGATACCCCTGGTGGGGGATACAGGCCCTCTGAGTCGCTTCAGTATCCTCATCCTACTATTGTTTTACCCACAGATAACCCTGGTGGGTGATACAGGCCCTCTGGGTCTCCTCAGTATCCTCATCCTACTATTGTTGTACCCACAGATACCCCTGGTGGGTGATACAGGCCCTAGACTTGGATACAAAAATGGTACCTGAATTGGCTCCTGGGAGATAACCCTTCCCTGGAGTCTTATTTGCAATATTACTTTCAATGAGAAGATTATGATATGAATCCTCAGATGCCCCTGGTGGGTGATACAGGCCCTCTGAGTCTCCACAGTATCCTCACCCTACTATTGTTTTACCCACAGATACCCCTGATGCACCAAGAGATGTACAGATACCCAAGTATGACCGCAGGTCAGCAGATCTTACATGGAAGGCCCCAGACAATGATGGTGGCAACCCAATAAAAGGTAGGCCAGAGTCACAAAGCTTCAAACTCATATGGATCACCAGGTTTATTTTGATTGCTGCAATACTATGAGGCCTTGGTTCTGATAGTCATTTCATGTATAAATACATTGTGGGACCATTTCACTCTAATTTAATGGATATTGATTCCGACATTCTATATACTGACTATTTCACCTATGTTACAGTAACTCTAATCAACCAAACCAGAAATGTCAAAGAAAATATTCTATCTCGATATAAAATATTGTGCAGGTTATATGGTGGAGAAGAAACCGCGAGGAGGTGAATGGATTCAAGTTAACAACTTCCCCGTGAAAGACACAAGCTACTCTGTGATGAACTTACAGGAAGGTCAAGAGCTGGAATTCAGGGTCATGGCAATCAACGATGGTGGATTAGGCAAACCAAGCAAGGCCACTCCCTCCCATCTGGTGAGGGACCAAGTCTGTAAGTACAGGGCCCAGGAGGTAGGGACCATAAGTCCTCCATCTACTGTAAAAGCAAGCGTGCCACCCAACCTGAACACAAAAACAGCAGGAGGTGAACCCTTATAACCTGTCTGCAGCCTACCTCCCACGCGTGCTTCAATCTCATTGGTCTACTCTGCGCATGCAGGACATATATTTTCCAATATTTTCCGAAACGCAGAGGTTTCTGATTATTGTAATACGTACTGTCTGTTTTTTGTTTAACTTGGGTACAAAAGTTATTTAACTCCAAACTCAAGTCACTAACTATGTTTCAGCCCACGATCTATCTAGATGGTAGCATTTTATCAAATTGTGTTTAGTTCAGGGTCTGTTCATCTGGCAGTTGACAATTTTTGTTATCTCTAATTTTTAGAAAGCACTTGACAGATCATTATCTCTTGTTTAACATGGACGTTTACCTGAATATGGTCCTGTTATGTATTGATGCATTCTATTAACAGTTGCTGCTGGTGCGCCATCAGCTCCGAATGTTGACAAAATCACCAAGAACTCGGTCGACCTGTCCTGGAAGAAGCCCAGCAATGACGGAGGTGGTAAGATTACTGGATATATTGTGGAGAAGAAAAAGGCAGGAGAGGACTGGAAAGAGTGCGCTGAGGTCGCTGGTACTTCCTGTACGGTGCCAAACTTGAATGAAGGTGACGAGGTTCAGTTCCGCGTAACCCCTGTCAACGCTTTTGGACCGGGCGAAGCCAGTCACCCAACTTCAGTGATTAAGGTCGAGAACCAGCCAGGTACGTAGTGAAGAGCGATTCCATACATTAGATGATGAAGGGCTGGGTAAGATATCAGATGTCTTCTTTTTCACCCTGTTGATTTTTATTTGAGATAAGAAGTGCGTCCATTAGCCACATTTTACGTTTGTAACAATGAAGTGGTTGAAAGCACTTGACAAAATATGTTTTGTTATTCTGTTGTAAATGTGAGGCTGTAATATATTACAGAAAAGCCATCCATGGACATGTCTGGTGTGAAGGATGTCAATGTGAAGGCTGGTCAAACCATCACCATCAAGATCCCTTTCACAGGGTTCCCAAAACCTACTGCAGCCTGGGTCAATGGCGACACTGACATTGAAGACGATTCCCGCACTGATCTTAAGGTAATTTACTCAGGTCAAGGTCACTGAAGGTTGAAACATAAGTAAGGTCTACAAAAACGTAGGAATAGTTCTTAACTCAGTCACTCCTGAAATTTCATAATGAACTTTTCCAACCTTTAAATCGGAAGAGTTCAAATGTGTCTTCAGGGGTGAATGAGTTTATAATTTACCACTCATGTCTAGTTATTCTACAGTTTCAAAAAAATATTAATCAAATAACTAGATAATTGTACTGTCAATAACTAGATAATTGTACACTAGATCAGTGTACTGTCAATGTTGTTAGATTCATCATAGGCTGAAGCAATAGGAAACAACTTGACTTTGGCTTTTGTTTTGAAGGTCAAGGATGATCATGTTCTGTTGACCACCACCAATGCAAAGAGGTCCGACGCAGGACGCTATAAAGTCACCTTGAAGAATGCATCTGGAACGGAGTCTGCAAGCCTGGGTGTGAAAGTCCTTGGTAAGGTCACTTGAAATATACAACCAGTAAGGTCACAGAATAAATATCATCTAAAGGAGCTATGTTAAAAAAATACATCCCATGTCATTATAACATTAATGATCAAAGACATTCTAAAATGAGGTAAAAGTTGATTTAGATAATTTCTTAGTCCTGTCAAAGTATTCAATCCTCTGCTGTACTGTGTCTTAAGGAGGGACGGTAAACTACAGTAGTAGGATGCTGGGCTCATGACAGACGGGTTGCAGGTTCGAGTCATGAACAAGATACTTTACTCCTCTTGTTCCAGTCTACTCAGCTGTAAATGAGTATGTGGTTGGGAATTGCTGGATTTGTTGAATGCTAGCTGTGAGCATCTAAATGGCAACACTGGCTGTATGCTCCCCAGGGAGTTGAGAAAGATATTGGCTGGTTGCAAAGGTCCTATAACCACGGATAATAGTTTGTTAACCGCTTTGAGACGACCTACGAACTAGATTGTGATAAAGCGGTATATAAGAACCTCGAATCATTATAATTATTTGTCTTACAGACAAGCCTGCTGCTCCCACTGGTCCTCTGACTGCTTCAAATATCAATGGAGATGAATTGACCTTGAAATGGAACCCTCCTAAAGATGACGGTGGCGAGCCCATCAACAACTATGTGGTGGAGAAACGAGTCGATGGCACTGATAGGTGGATGAAGGTCAGCAGCTTCCTCACCACACCACGTTGTGTGGTCAGAAACCTTGACCCTGGCACCAAATATGAGTTCCGTGTGATGGCAGAGAACAACATGGGGGTCAGCGATGCACTGGTCACTGATGAGGCCATCTTGGCCAAATTGCCTTTCGGTATGTGGTCAAGCAATCTATTCCACTATTTTAGTATTTTTCATATGAGTTATATGTCCCTTGTATCAACTTTTTCATTCATCATTAGTTTTGTGTTGATTTAAAGGATTTTCATTATTTTATATCTATTTTATGCTCAAATGATTCAATAATACATGTAGCTGTTGAGACTTTAAAACATTTGAAATCCCAACCACATCAAAAATATAACCATATATACATTTGATAGGCATAAACAGATAAACACAGTTGTTTATGTACCTACATATGATGTAATGACAGAGTTTTTGCCCACTTTAGATACACCCAGTGCCCCAGGAACCCCCAAATGTACTGGTACCACAGAGGACTCTATCAGTTTAAGCTGGACACCGCCTCGCCGTGACGGAGGCAACCCTATCCGTGGCTACGTTGTCGAGAAGCGTGAGAAGGGAGACGACAAATGGACAAAGTTAGTGATAAGTTAAATATGGATGGGAATCATTCAACTCATTCACCCCTGAAATTTCATACTGAACTACTCCAACCTTTGACTTGGAAGAGTTCAAATGTGTCTCCAAGGGGTAATTGAGTTTACTCATTTTTAAGGAAGCTTGAAATGTATAATTAGGAAATTAAAAATGTATATTTTGTTGCATCTCAAAAATTGCATTTTATCTTTTTTTCCAGAAATATATGCACCCTATCAAAATTTGGTGTTAATGTAAAAAGGTTAATAAACAGTTCAAAAAGTGCTTGGCGGGAAACTATTGGCTAGCTGATTCTTTCCCCTCTCTGTATTAGTAACTAGGAGGAAGCTATTGGCTAGCTGATTCCTTCCCCCTATTCTGTATAAGCAATTAGGGGCGAAGCTATTATAGCTAACTGTTTCTTTCCCCCTTTTCTGTATCAGTGACAAGGGGGAAACTATTGGCTAGCTGATCCCCCAACCTCTGTATTAGTAATAACCCCTTATTAGTAATAATACTTATTTCACAGTGTATGCTTAAATTTATACATGTAAATCTGGATCAGGTAAAATAATAAAGAAAACTTCATATTATGTGAAATTCATTTAAAAAAAATGTTGTAACAATTTTTTATTTTCGTTTCATTACCAGGGCAACCTATGGAGAGGTTTTGGACAACGAATGCACATGCAAGGGCCTTCAGGATGGTAAGGAGTACGAGTTTCGTGTGGCAGCTGTCAATGAAGCTGGACCTGGTGATTTCGCAATGACATCTGATGCCATCATGGCCAGGGCTCCTCCAGGTAAGATAATACAACACTAGGTAACCAATTCTGATTAAAACAGAAATCAGGGTATTGAAAAAGATGAAACTTTTGTATAATATCGGCTAGGTGCAGCAGCTGGAGCCTCGTTGATAAAAATGGCCAATACACTACTAAATCTACATTTGAATGCTTCCGCGTTAAAATGTAGTCCGTCCCTACAAGGAAGACAACGTATTTCAGTGTAGATGATATTTTATCTACAACACCAGATATCTTACAACAGCAAAACAATACATATAAAGACAAAACAGAACTTTTTTGATGCAGATTGTCAATTTCAAGCTGTGAATGCGCGGATGAATACATTGCAGTGTAAATCTGTGAAATGTCACGTAAAGGTACCAGACAGGTAGGATAAGATAGAAAAATCTAGCATGGGGTATATTGTAGGATATCTCTGTCTGAGGTGTAAGAAATTAATATCTCAATATCTGTCCACAGTGGCCCCTAAGATCAGTCCTGACTATGTTCCTCGGGACGTCATCGCCAAGGCTGGAGAGGAATTCAAGATCGTAATACCATACATAGGAAACCCAACCCCTAAAACCACCTGGAGTCTGGTAAGTATATTCTTAACGGAATTGGTCAAAAGCTAATTATTGTCTGATTCTGTTCTTGTATCTAGGTATAGCATTGTGATCCTTTTTCTGATGCTTTATTGCAATGATGGGGAACTTCTGGAATTGTAATGACCCCTAATTACAATTAGAACTTATTATTAATTATTAATTATTTTTATTATTCTTCTGCTATGAACGTTTTCTCAGACTCACTTGAAACTCTGCGTGATGATTGGTGGTCATGTGTGATTGGGAAAGATTAATTTTAGCTGCTGCACACCATCAGAACCAGGTCGTCAGAACCTCTGATTGGTTGAAAGTTAGAACATTGAGAGATTTTGATCTTTCGGTATGTATTATGCCGTTACGAACAGTAGAGGGACTTCCACAGCCACTGTATCTGTCAGAAGTTGCTGTGTCTGGGTTGCATCTGGCTTCATTTGGCAGTAGATGACCACAGGTATCATTAAATTCTTTTTATCATTTCCACAGAGTGGTGCTAGTGTACTGGAGGATAGCCGCATCAAATTCATAAATGACCCCCTGGAGGTCAAGTTGGTCAACAAAAGCGCCAAGAAGAGTGATGCCGGAAAGTACAACATCATGCTGCAGAATGAGAAGGGTTTCGACTCCCTCTATGTCAATGTCATTGTTGTTGGTAAGTCAAATGCAAATTTTCAAAATATTTCAAAAATAAATTTATTAATTTGAAAGGCGCCCTTTGTGAATTACCAACCTGAAGTTTATTATGAATTGAAATATTTTCGTAAACATGTAACATGCACATTAAATCTTACCATTGATGTTATTTAAGCTTAGACTGAAATGTTCTACTTATAAGTCATCACTTACAAAATTTTAGAGTATGTCAAATAGAGACCATTAAAAGTTTGTGAAATAAAATGACCTTGACCTATAAGCTACTATCACGGTCATATGGATAAATAAATCAAAAGAGTTAACTGACTACATCAGTAGAACCTAAACGGCTTGAATAATTCTATTTTGCTGGTAGTTTACAGGGACGGAGCCCTTCAAACTTTAAAAGAAAACATTGATAGATTGCTATAAATGTATAAAAGGTCACTGGGGTCATGTGGCATGGCTTTGGTATGGAGATGGGTGTAACTGTTTAAAAGAATACTCCTTTAAGTATGTGCTTAGATCCCCTAAGCATTTTGTTTGCCATTGTAGATTCATGATAGATTTTCAGGTGAGCAATTGAGGCCTCTGGCCTTTTGTTTAGATATATTTAAAATAATAGTTTGTGTTTATGGTAAGAGTTTGTTGTATATGTGTATTACATGTTTATGGTAAGAGTTTGTTGTATATGTGTTTTACATGTTTATGGTAAGAGTTTGTTGTTTATGTGTATTACAGATTCTCCAGGTAAACCAGAGGGTCCCCTGGAGGTTAACGATATCACTCCTGACTCCTGTAAGCTGACATGGTATCCACCCAGGGTAGGTGATCCTCCAGTGACATCACGTTGGGTTCTGCCATATCTTCTACCCTCCTTTTACTGCTAGTTATCCCTGTTATTATGTTTTATGTATATATTTATGTTACCTTCCACAATGACGTTAGAAATGTATTCTGAAGTAACAGTGCCAGCTGTTTGTCTTTCCGGCATGGTAGTGTAGTGGTAGGGTGCTGGACTCATGACTGAAGGGTTGCGGGTTCGAGTCACAGCATGGCACTGTGTTGTATCTTTGAGCAAGATATTTTACTCCCCTTGTTCCAGTCTACTCAGCTGTAAATGAGTATGTGATTAGGCAGTGCTAGAATTGTTGAATGCTAGCTGTGAGCGCCTCAATGGCAGCACCGGCTGTATATGCTACCCAAGGAGTTGAGAACGTGATTGGCTGGTTTCAAAGGCCGTTTAACCACGGAAAATAATTTGTGAATCGCCATGAGAAGACCTACGAACTAGGTTGTGATGAAGCTGTATATAAGATCCTCGAATAATTATTATTATTATGTGCTTAATGTTATTCTGAGAATGAATTTCTCTTTGTAGGATGATGGTGGTAGCCCCATCACTAACTACCGTATAGAGAAGATGGACAAGAAGTATGGTAACTGGGACAGTGTCACCAAGTATGCACGTGGCACAAGTTTCGAAGTCATGGACCTTGTTGAAGGTCATGAATATTGTTTCCGTGTCATGGCAGAAAATGAGCATGGAGTCAGTGAACCATTAGAGACTGCTACATCAGTGATTGCTCAACATCCATACAGTAAGTTTGTATTGACAGAAGCTTGCTGGAAGTTCAGTAAAATATTTTTTGCATGTAATGACTGGTCCCTGTGTAATGTAATGATTTGTCTTGTTTCTTTGTAAAGACTGGTCCCTGTGTAATGTAATGACTTGTTTGGTTTCTTTGTAAAGACTGGTCCCTGTGTAATGAAATGACTCATCATGTTTCCATGTAATGACTGGTCCCTGTGTAATGTAATGACTTGTCTGGTTTCTTTGTAATGACTGGTCCCTGTGTAATGTAATGACTTGTTTTGTTTCTATATAATAACTGGTCCCTGGGTAATGTAATGACTTGTTTGATTTCTATATAATGACTGGTCCATGTGTAATGTAATGACTTGTCTGGTTTCTATATAATGACTGGTCCCTGTGGAATGTAATGGCTCATCATGTTTCCATGTAATGACTGGTCCCTGTGTAATGTAATGACTTGTCTGGTTTCTATATAATGACTGGGCCCTGTGTAAAGTAATGACTCATCATGTTTCCATGTAATGACTGGTCCCTGTGTAATGTAATGACTTGTTTGATTTCTATATAATGACTGGTCCATGTGTAATGTAATGACTTGTCTGGTTTCTATATAAAGACTGGTCCCTGTGTAATGAAATGACTCATCATGTTTCCCTGTAATGACTGGTCCCTGTGTAATGTAATGACTTGTCTGGTTTCTATATAATGACTGGTCCCTGTGTAAAGTAATGACTCATCATGTTTCCATGTATAATGACTGGTACGTCCCTGTGTAATGAAATGACTTGTCTGGTTTCTATGTCATAAGATGGCCACCTGCAGACAGCCATTTTTAGTGTTGACAGTTCAAGTTTGTTATCACTTTACTTTAAGGAAGTACTGGGTAGATCTTTATCTTATATCACATGCTGAATTTTCATTGGTCTTAAGTTGTGAATCTTTAATTTTGAAGCTGATTAGAAATGGCGGCCACTGGCAGCAGTCTTAGATTTTGACAGTTACACTAAAGGCACCTTGCGGTAATTTTACTTTTGATCAAAATGTCATATACTGCTGTGTATGATATTGTTTTTTTTCTTCAAAATGAGGGGTTGCGGTGGCCAAGTGGTTAACCCGTCTGACATTCTGCTACCACTAGCCCTCAACCGCTGGGTCACAGGTTCGAGACCTATGTGGGGCAGTCCACAGGTACTGGCCATGGGTTGGTGGTTTTTCCGGGAACTCTGGCTTTCCTTAACCACCAAAACCTGGCACATCCTTAAATGACCATAGCTGTTAAAAAGACGTAAAACACAAACCAACCAAAACTGTACAATGATTGTCCTTTTCTAATGATTGGTCCCTGCAGCTGTGTGTAATGATAATTACTGATGTTGATAGCTGCCCCTGACTCCCCTGTAGTTTGTCCCTGTGTGTAATGATATTTACTGATGTTGATAGCTGCCCCTGACTCCCCTGGTAAGCCAACAGTGGAGGACGTGGATGAGGATTCTGTCACACTCAGCTGGACAAAACCAAAAAGTGATGGTGGAAAGAAGATCCTGGGATACGTTGTTGAATACCTTGATCCTTACTCTGGCAGGTGGAAAGCTGCTAATGACCTTCCATGTTCAGATACTAACTTCACAGGTAAAGAAAAATATAAAATTTTGCATTAAAAGCATCTTTGAATTCAACGGATAAACATCAAACTTCTTAGAAAGATAAATTATCCCAAAAGCTCGGTTGAGTTTGTTAACCATTCTTATCAAACTTTAGTTTACAGCATGACGCTCCTTTATGCAATTGCCTACATGGTATCTGCTCAGTACCTCAAGAAATTTTCAACAATTTAACTTCAAATTTCATAGAGGGTTAATTACCATGAAAGTTTGGACATGTTTGATAACCTCCATATTATCCCACTGCAATTTACGGAGTTCATGCCCCTTTCATCAACTGATGAAACTGAGTTGACTTGTGAACATGAAATAGTTGCTGGTTGTAGAGGTCGGATTAAAACTTGTTGATGAGATTGAGCCGTTATTTTCACCCAACTGGAAAAAAATAATAATCGGTTATTTTTTTTCTGCAGTACCTGGACTGAAGAGGGACAAAGAGTATGAATTTCGAGTAAGGGCAAAGAATGTGGCAGGCCTGGGAGAACCAAGTGCAGTGATTGGCCCTGTCATACCCAAACCGAAGTATGGTAAGTACAGTTCGTCTCTCCTAGTGGGTTAATGGTACTCAAATCTGTGTATAACTAACTAATAACAATACTGCTCTCTGATATGTTAATCTACACAATAATTATGTGTGACGAGGTTTCCTGTCCTGGACAGTGTCATCCTGTTAGCTTGTTTTACCAGACCTTTGTTAGTATGACACTAATTCAGTGTTTTGATTTTTTCTTTCTTGATAACAAATATTGTGGCTTTTTTCAACAGGCAAGTCTGGAGCACCTGGCACACCAGTACCCTCTGCTATTGGCAGAACCTATATTGACCTGAAATGGGAACCACCCAAGAATGATGGAGGTAGCAAAGTCACGGGTAAGTTAATTGTAGCTATTGAAATTTATTCTTGTAATCTAGAAATATGTTATTAAGAAATGGACATCCCCCCCTCCCACACTTATGAACTAAAGCAAGGTCGTACAGGTCAGTCAAAGGTCAAGGTCACACAAATGTCATGCAACATGTTGTACTTATGAAGATGCATAAATATGTGAAATTGCATGACCCCAGGTAAAGTAATTAGTCCAAAACTGACCTGAACCCACAAATGGGTAGACATATACTCGTATGTACAGAGGAACTAGGGTAATATCCAAAACTGACCTGAACACAAAAATGGATAGACACATGTACAGAGGAACTAGGATAACATTATATTCACCATAGAGGGATATAAACGTCACCAGCATACTATGATTACAATTTATTCACCCCTGAAATTTCATAATGGACCGTTCCAACCTTTGAATTGGAAGAGTTCAAATGTGTCTTCAGGGGTGAATGAGTTAAAAATAATTCATGATCATCCTGGACCTTGATTAGAATGATTAACATACCTTGCCCCTAACATGAGGGGATCAGTTAAATGTCAACTTAAGCTTCTTTTTTTTTTATTGCCTAACAAGATTTTTGCTTCAAGATGAGGATTAGGCATTCAAATATCTCACCATGAGGGTTAGGCATTCAAATATCTCACCATGAGGGTTGAGATTATTTGACATACCCTCATCATAGGGGATGATGTATTTTCTCCCATCTTCCCAAAGCTTTGTTTGAAAGCAGGTGGACATTGATTATAATTTATGGGTTATTTTGATATTTTTCTCTCGCAAATAGAATATCATAATAAGCAGGTTCCATTGCAGCACCTTTAAGGAAAATGAAGAGCAAAGAAGGTAAAAGATAATCTTTTGTAGATCTGAAAAAGATCCTTTCATGGCGGGCACCAAGATCCTTCTAGTTCTTTGTCACATCACAAAAATAGATAATTGTTTTACAACTCCGGTGACTATTAAGACTAATCTTGTTTTTCAGGCTATGTAATCGAGAAAAAGCCCAAGAACTCTGACACATGGACCAAGGCTAACAACTTCAATGTGCGTGAACCCTACTTCACTATCAATGACCTTCCTGAAGGGGAGGAATTTGAGTTCCGTGTGGCCGCCATTACTGCTGCTGGGGTCGGAGAGTACAGTCTGAATACAGCACCAATCAAAATCAAGGAGCCCATTGGTATGTGAAATGAGTCTGATATGAGACATTAGCAAACTCTCCCTATTTCGAAGGGAGAATCCCGATTTTGGACCCTAAGATTGAGCATTTTCAACCAGTGAATGTGCTTAACTATTTCTTTTTTCTAAGATCTGGTGATTTCATTTAACAGCTCAAAAGCTTTTAAGTCTTAGCACACGTAATCTCCCCCATGGTAATTTCAAAAAGTTGGCAAGCATACATTTGACATGTACACTAAAGTAACACTTACGTAGCTGCTTGTAAAATATATCAGAGGTGTAGACTGGAATCAGCTTGTTCATCCGTCTGTCGCTCAGTCTGTCTCTAGATAAAATCCGGTCAAGACAACTTCCCCTTAACAAATAATCATTTTACATATCCTCTGAGGATTAAGATAGCCAGTGGCAGAGTTCTATTATTTAAAAAAAATATGAAGGTGAGGATACAGCCATGTAAAAAGATTCAGTCATTTTTGCTATATGCAACAATGTGAGATTTGTGCAAAAAATGCTGTGAATTTTTTTCACGCTCTTTACCCCTTATTTGATATATGCAATGAGGGATGTATATTTTTACACATCCTGCACAAATTCATGAACCCATGAACCAAATATATATATACTTAGGTAATAGGTTACACATGCAGGCAAAAGGTCCCACAAGTCCAGCAACACCAGGGGAGACAACTCTCTCCTGATGACACAGCCAAGTAATTGTAGCACTGCGGTTCTGTAAGATTCACTGTTGATTGTATGTTTTGTCTGTTCCAGTCGGATCAGCAGCCGAGTTTACTAAGAAGCTGTACAATGAGAAGGCCCCTCTCGGGGGTGAGGTCACATTCTCCGTCCAGACACATGGCAAGCCCCTGCCTGAAGTCAGTTGGTAGGTCAACTCAACCAACTGTCATCCCTCTCCCTGTTTATGTCTTAACTTTACAAACTCAGGGTAAAGGACTAGGGGTGTTAAGGGTCATTTCTGGCCTCATCGGGGATTTAGAATTAGTGGTTATAAGAAAGATAGCATATGTTGCTTATAACAGAAATTGGTAAATAAATTCAAGTTGAAATTTTTACTTTTTGTTTGGCCAAAAACGACCCATGACACCCGAAGTCCTTTGTGTGATACAAATTCTGTCAACTTTTGTTTGTTTAAGAAATATTGACTTTTTGAAAATGACAATTTTACAACAAGTAACACAACAGGATCTGAAAAAGTTATTATGTAGTTATTGATGAGGTAAGCTGTACAAATCGTACTAAAATAGTAAAATAATCAGTCAATTGTATTCAAGTTCTTTACATGTTCCTTGCGATCATAATAAAAGACCAAGTTCTATTATAACAAAACCAGCCATTGAACACTTCCTGATGTATGTTTTGTTTAGGTATAAGAATGGCGTTCCCATCGGTAACACCAACCATAGAACACTTCCTGATGTATGTTTTGTTTAGGTATAAGAATGGCGTTCCCATCGGTAACACCAGCCGCACTAAGCTCACCCAGAACGATGACAACTTTCTGTTCACACTCTCTGATGTCGGGGAAAGTGATGCCGGAGAAATCCGCTGTGAAATTTCAAATAATTTGGGACGGGAATCCTGTTCCTGCCAACTTGCTGTCATGTGTAAGTCATGTATTCTATAGGTTATGTAGCAATCTATCAACCCCTCCGATCATCAAGCATGTTCTGTGCAACAACTATTCTGTGACATCCTGTTGTAAAGAAACAGAAGAATAAAATCTGTAATTGCGCGAGCGAGATCGGGTTATAATGATTCATAATAATAATACTATACAACATTTGTATAGAGCCCTATATCATTTGTAACATTACTCTAAAGCGCTCTACAACAAACATGGATAATAGTATTCATTATAATTGTTAAACAAAAAAGGCTAACAAATCACCATTAAGCAAGAAGATAATAATCTCAATGTGCACATAAATGAATCTCAATCGAGGGCTAAGATTCTGTAATATAATCACAACTGAGGCTTAAGTCGAGCTTGGGATGTTACAGAATCTTACATTAGCCCTCAACTGAGAACCTGATCTCGCTCAATTTCAGATAATTGAGTTTTTATCTTGCACCTGTTTGTTCGAAAAAAACCTTATCAATTTGATCCAGTCTGTTCTTTTTCTTCAGTAATGTGGGTATCCCATATGTGTTTATATAAGATCCTGCTTAAATATAGAAAATCATGTGATGTATGTGTTTTAGCTCCTCCCCGAATGGAGAAGTCACTTCCTGACAAACAGGTGGAGCTTGGAGACCAGTTCAAGATCAAGGTTCCCTTCAGTGGAACGGGACCGTTCGAAGTCAGTGTTTTGAAAGATGGACGTGAATTGAAAGAAGGTGGACGTGTGAAGATCACAGAGTTTGATGATTATGTTGTGTTAGTTCTCAAAGGTACCCGTTCTTTCACTTTCTATTTTGAATATGCTAATGAGATTGGATAACTATAAGCATTAGTAATATCGCTGATCAGGCCTATTCCATGACATTAGCTCATTCGCCCCTGACATTTCATAATGAACTATTCCAACCATTGAGTTGGAAGAGTTCAAATGTGACTTTAGGGGTGAATGTGTCAATGTAAACTTCTTACTGATCATACAAAATCAAATAGTCATTGGAAGACAATTTCTGATCTTTTCTTTTTATCCAATACATAATTCCTTAACTGCTGACAATGACGATTAATGCCTATGTTCCACTTTATGGTAATATGCAGAAGTTGATAATATATTATGGATCTTGTGTATGTTGTGTTTGTGGTGTTCTTTTGGATCAAAGTTGGAATCGCCTGAATGAAATGTTTGAATGTGTTTTATTTATTCCTTCAGAATCTGTCGAAGATGACACTGGAGGTTACCAGGTCAAGGTGTCTAATCCCAGCGGAGCAGCAAGTACAAGCTTCAAGCTGGGAGTTGTCAGTAAGTAGTGCAGGTTATCTCCCCTTAAATGTCTCATTTTGAGCAAATATATCAGTTATATAAGCATAAGACAATAATTTTGATTTGAATATCCAAGTTTTGATATTTTATAGACCAGATGGGGCCTGATAATAAAGTTCAATACAGGCTATATGGACCATTGGTTTGATATATAAGTTTTTGATAAATGACAATTATAAAATCCAATTGTATCATTGTAGGTCCACCTGGATCTCCGAGTGGGCCCCTAGCGGTGTCAGAAATCACAAAAAGCACATGTAGTCTTTCCTGGAAGCCCCCTAGGGAGCTAGGTGGAGGAAAGCTATCACACTACGTGGTGGAGAGGCAAGAGATTGGCAAACCATACTGGGTCACAGTGTCGTCTCGCTGCAAGGTAAATAAGCCAACTGTCAGCTTCAAGTTTTATTGTTATAACTGTCCCTGTAAGGTAAACTACTGTCAGTGTCAAATCTTATAGTTATAACTGTCGATGTTTAAGCAAGGATTCTACTGTCAAATGTGGGGCAGAGGGTTGGGACCCAATAGAGGAACTTATGGGTTTAAACCTTCACACTCCTAACAGTACCTGGTTGGTAAAGTAGTTTTAACCTGAATTGATCTGCAGCATCCTTATGCCAAGGAGTTTCAATGTTGGGGCAGAGGGGCAGGGCCCAATCGAGGAAATAATGGTATATCTTTATCGATTATAATTAAAAACTATACAAGATTGGTGGACAAACAAGCGCAAAATTTTACTTTGAACCCATACCAAATCCATGATCGGGCAAGTCCAGTTTAAAATTGTAGGGGTGAATGAGTTGATGAATATTTTCATGCATGTGCCGTAGATGTATTACATGTACCTTTATATCAGTTATTTTCATCCGACGCTATCCCGGAATTCTACGGGTAAGAGAAAAGAAAGAAGACCAATTAATCAAAATATTAAAACCAAGTCTAAACAGGCCACAGTAAAATTTTGTGCTAGTTTGTCCACCAATCTTGTGAACATTGCGACGTCACGTTATTATTGTAGTGTGATGACATGTTATTGTGGCCTCACGATGTTGTCCTTTTGAAATAAACCTGAAGAGCCCTGTGTGAAGGGTGAAAGCAGCTTGTTTTTTAGTCGGTCTTTAGATCTTATTTATTTCAAAGATGCTTGATATTATGTGTATCATTCATAACTTGACTCAGTGTAACTGTTGAGCCCCGTGGGCCTCTTGTTTTTGTTTAGGATACCAAGCAGGATGTTCAGGGTCTAGTTGAGAACCACCAATACTTGTTCAGAGTTTCTGCCGTCAACGAGTTCGGACAGTCTGAACCACTCAAGGCTGAAAATCCAATTGTGGCCAAAATGCCATTTGGTATGTGAAATATATATATTTAAATGCTGTGTGTGTTTATTTTCATTTTTGAAATTTCATAAATATTAAACCAAATTCGCTTGATATTTGCTCTAATTTCATATTTCTTGGAATAATGTTTCTGAAATATAACTAAAACTATAACATTAATATTCATTGACTTACTGTCACCAGCCTTAAATTCCTGTGTTCCAGGAACAATTGTATATATCATTTGTCTTACATGTACTGTCCTACCTGTACAGATGCCCCGGGATCTCCAGGTGTACCTGAGGTTACACAGGTGGGTGGAGACTTTGCCAGTCTCACCTGGGCCAAGCCCCATTCCGATGGTGGTGGTCGCATCCTTGGGTACTGGATAGACAAGAAGGAGCACCGTACCGACAACTGGAGCCGCGTCAACAATCAGATCTGTACCCCAAACATCTTTAACGTGTCCAACCTTATCGAGGACAAGCAGTACGAATTCCGTGTGTATGCCGAGAATGAGGCTGGCATGAGCAAACCTTCCATGGCATCTACTAGTGTAAAGATCAAGGATCCTGATGGTGGGTTGGTGAATGGAGGTCAATGTCTGAAAGCATGCTCTTTGTGTGATATGATTGTATATCAGGAGGCATGGTTGTCTAGTGGTAGGATGCTAGACTCGTGACTGAAGGGTTGCGGGTTCGAGTCACATCACGACATTGTGTTGTATCTTTGAACAAGATACTTTACTCCGCTTGTTCCAGTCTACTCAGCTGTAAATGAGTATGTGGTTGGGCAGTGCTGGAATTGCTGAATGCTAGCTGTGAGCGCTGAAATGGCAACACCGACTGTATGCTCCCCAGGGAGTTGAGAAAGATATTGGCTGGTTGCAAAGGTCCTATAACCACGGATGTTAATCGGTGAACTGCTTTGAGATGACCTACAAACTAGGTTGTGATAAAGCGGTATATAAGAACCTCGAATTATTATTCATATATTTGTAAACGGTAACAACTTATCCATATCATTTTGAAGAGTCTGAAGATATGAAGAACATTTGATGGAAGTTTAATTCACAACTATGTTAGAAACCTGTCATATCATGCAAAATGGTGACTGTAGATTGTTACCATTCAAATGAAAACCATTAGAAATGCTCGTTGAGTTTTTCAGAAAGATACAGGTACATGTTTTATCTCAACAGCGGCTATATTGCCAGAGTTTGTTACGGGACTAAGAAAGAGTCAGTGTGTTGCTGGAAAGACCGCCAGATTTGAGGTTGAAATCACTGGCACACCTAAACCAGATGTTACATGGTAAGCATTTTGAATAGTATTTTTGGATAACATTTTATTTGTGCTTCAAAATCATGAATATATCAGGCAATGAGGAAGAACAATTTGGATACGTTGCATGATAAGAAATTATATAAACACATGAACAATTGGGTTTTGCAGTGGTTAATTATGCTTAGCAATTTCACATAGACAGCTGGGGTTGATTCCCAAATCTGATGTGAAAAGGTAAAAGGTCATCTGACTAGCCTCATGTTTTCTCCTGGTACTCAGGTTTCCTCTCATACTAAGAACCCCATCTGAGTGATTTTTGTAAAGTTGATAGATCTTGTGTCATACTTGTTGTATATTCATTTAATTTTAATTTAATAAACACAGCCTGCATCTAAGAAAAATCACATTAATCGCTCCTGCCAGTTTAGAACAAGAAATTTATATTTTCAGGTTCAAGGGAAGTCGCGAGCTGTTTGATGACAATAAATATGAGATCACAAATGATGGTAACCACTACTCCATGGCCATTAGGGATGTGTTCGGAGAGGATCAAGACGAGTATTCTGTCCGTGCTGTAAACAAGGGAGGATCTCGCAGCTCCAGGGCTGATCTGGAAATTAGATGTATGCTTTCACTTTGCATTGCACGTCATAAATTATGGAGTTATGCTCCGTTATTAAATTGCCGAATAGTGTCCACACAATTTCTTGAGTAATTTTCAACAGATTTACTTCAAACTTCATAGAAATATTAATTGCCATTGGAGCTTAGATGTTTTTAATAACTACCATTATCTGGAATTAATTTACAGAGTTATGCCCCATTTGTTTAATTTCTGAAACAGCTTCTGCTCGATATTTTTTGAATGGATTAATGGCGCACTTCATAGAACGGTTACTTATCACGAGAGCTCAGACAAGTTGGATAACCACCATTATCTGACCATAATTTACAGAGTTATGCCCCCTGAATCAGTGGAGTCAGTGTTATCACAATTATCTGATCATAATTAATAGACTTATTTCATTTGGTGTCATTAAATGCAATAGCACATCCATTCCATCATGTATTATTGCACTCATTGATTAAATACCACGTTTGTTTAATCATTTCTCCTTTAACATCAATTACTCACAAATATTTCATATATTTCAACGATACAAACAGGTGCTCAGTGAACTTTTGACGGGCGTTTTATGTCCCACTTCACAGTAGTTTTATTTTATTATTCAGGGTTGTATATTTTGTTTTGAACAACCTGAACTATTATTGTCCAATCTTACAAGTCTACAAACACCTTACCTAAAGGAATGAAACCTCTTGTTAACTTTGCACTGTGAGATGTTGAATTATGGAAAGAGTGAAATTTTCACCTAAAACAAGTAAAGAGAACCATGTTTGTGGTTTCTCTAAAAATTATAATAATAACATAAAGAGTTGAAAATTTCACATACACTCCAATTTGATGAAAGAAACACTATAAATAATTGGAAAATTTTTGAAAGGCAGTCATGTCAAATACTTGTATTTCATTGAAATATACATTTGCTGCCTTTTGAAAAACTATTATGGAAATTGAGATTCAGTAATTAAAACACAAGCTAATTTGATATAATGTCAACCAAATATTGTCTCATGTTATATCTACAGCTCCTCCCAAGGTCAATGTACCAGCAAGGTTCAAGGATGTTAGTACATTTGAAAAGGGTGAACCAGTTGTGCTGAAAATTCCATTCACTGGCAACCCCAAACCATCTGTGCGATGGGTACGAGACGGTCAAGATGTACGGGGTAAAGATTACTCAGAGGAGGTAGGGGAGAGACATGCCGTCCTCACCATTAACCATGCCACCAAGGAGCATGATGGACCATTCAGGATCGTCCTTGAAAATGATCTTGGCACAGATGAAGCCGTCATTAAAATACAGATTAATGGTATGTCATTTATATACAAATTAATGATATGAAAATACAAGTTAATGGTGTGTAATTAAAGTACAAATTAATGGTATCTACTTAAAATACAAATTAATGGTATGTCATTAAAATACAAATTAATGGTATGTAATTAAAATACAAGTTAATGGTATGTAATTAAAGTACAAATTAATGGTATCTAATTAAAATACAAGTTAATCGTGTGTACATTACTTTATAGATAAATCAGAACATATGATATACTAGTGCATTTAACTGAGGATGACATGCAAACGAATAATGGCCTATTTTAATGAGGCTATCAGGAGAGTACATAAGTTATATCTGTCATGTCAATGTAGAAGTACACATAGCAATAATATTAGTGTGATATAACCTCGACTAACTGCATACATGCCATAGCCATTATATACATATTCATGGCTCTGATACTGTTAGTGGGAGGCAGTTATCTTGTATGATATATGCCTGCAGCTTTGCTGAAATAAAGCGCCATACATTTTGCAAAAAGAAAATACCTTGTCTAGGATTCAAATCACAGCGGCCAAATTTGTTACAACACACAAAAAACTTCTTAACAACTAAATTTAAAGTCTAATGACAAGTTATTTGGCTAATATCTTGCTGAGATGTCAGGATGATGTGGAGCTTCAATATTTACGAAAACAGGAATAACCTTAATCTGTATTGAGGGACAATTAAGTCGAATTTGTTAAAATACTAAATTGACTTCTAGATCTGAATGATGTTAAAAGGCTTAAAGTCCTACTAATATTGAGCCAATAGTTTGCTAAAATATATTGTAGGGAAGTAGGTGAAAGAAAAGCCACTTAAAAACTGATGAACCTCAGCATGTCTCTTCTGTTTCTATTAACAATGACAGATACACACCTATGTGAACCTGAAGGTAACATTTAACAGGCTTTATATGTTATAAACTATTGTGTACTATATGAATAATCTATGTTACAGATCGCCCTGATCCTCCACGCTTCCCTGTCGCGGAAAATATTCGTGAAGATTCAGTTGTTTTGTCCTGGAAACCTCCAATGAATGATGGTGGCAGCTTCATCACTGGTTACGTGATTGAGAAATGCGAGCCCCCATCACAGCACTGGGTCCGCATAGCAAGTACAAGGTACAATCACTCCTACAGTTATCTTTGACCCATGTGTTACATCTCCCACCAAAATACATTGGTTATCTACCCATTGACCCAAGCCTGGGTCAAATTGGCTAAAATTTCAACAATCGTTATCTTCAGACCCAGGTGTACTGGAATCAAATACTCTTCATTGATGGTGAGGTCCTACGGTCACCCAATCCTTCCTTGGGAGGAATTTTACTATGTTTTTACATTATTTTATTGTTTCAATTATTTTTGACAATTACCTGCTATGTATAGATGTATATAGTCATAGCCATATTTGGAATATATGTAATACTTGTTTTTGTCACATCACAACAACAAATAACAATGTTTTTACAACTCAGGTGGGTTAAACCCCATGGCCCCTTGTATTTATGAAAGCCAAGTTTGTTCTGATCAGAAGTTAGTTTTGTTGATGGCAGGTCAATGTCTTATTGACAGACTAGACAATGTTAAACTGTGCTGCCCTGTGCTACTTTATTTATTGATGTGCCATTTACTCATTAACCCCTTAAGACACATTTGAGCTCTTCCAATTCAAAGGTTGGAATAGTTCATTATGAAATTTTAGGGGTGAATGAGTTAAGAATGTATCAGATAAACATGAGGTATCAGTGGTAGACTAATTGTTGTACTGTATAACATGAAATCGTCGTTGTGTATAAACATTCGTGGTTTTTATACGCCCGNGGTTGTTTTTAAACCACAAAAATAAATACAACAAATTTGAATGATACACATGTCTGCTGAATTAATGTTAATATAGGATATCCACGAAAGTTCGTATCATGAAACGATCTAAATGGCTTCAAACCACGAAGGAAAGTACCCACAAACATTTTGTGTTGTACAGTGATGTACATTTATTGACAAAAACTAATGACATGACTTGAATGTTTTAAATCTTTACAGAATGGCATTCCATAACGTGACTAGCCTTCAGAGTAACAAAGAGTACCAGTTCCGTGTGGCTGCTGAAAACCTTTACGGACTTAGTGAGCCCTGTGAACCTACAGCTACGATTAAAACGGATGATGCTGAATCTAAAAAGAAGAAGCATATGGAAGGTGTGTTGAAAATTTGTTTGTGGTGTAACAGGGTACTGTGTTCCAATTCTGTTCATTGTAAAAAGTTTATATCCTTATTATACCCCCTGCAAAATGAAGTTAGTGGGGTATACTATATAATACTTTTGATAATATTAGCATCAGCCAGTATTTCAATAAATGATGCAATATTGCTGTATGATATTTCAATTATGACTGCACTAATTCTACTTTTGATTTTACAGATGAATTTGGTAGAAAGATCAGAGGAAAAGGACCAAAAATTAGTGACTATGACAAATTTTGTAAGTATACGTTTTATACAGTGCATAGCTGTCAACCCTCCCTCATTAGGAGGTGGTAGACTCCCTCATTTTGATCAAATTTAATAAATCTCCCTCGAAACTCCCTCATTCAAGTCCAAACTCACACAAATTCAAAATCTACATCCTGTGGTCAAATGATCTCCTAGTTACTGCAGGGTGTGTGAAATGACTATGACAGAGATGTGTCTGAATCAAGTTAATGCTTTTTGGAGTTATTTTGATACATAAACAGGGAAAGATAAATTGAGCAAATCAGTTTCAGTCGCGTTTCACGCAATTTCTCGCTCATTGGAAATATGGGAGATCTCCCCCATTGGAGGTTTCAGAGGTTGACATCTATGGAACAGTCTGATTAAGTTATATATATATCTCAATGTCAAAGGGAACATAACTGTAGCCAATGAGATATCCAAGGTATTCAATAAACAAATCAACAGTTTATATACACAATTGATTATAGATGAAACTTAAATATGCATAACATATATTTCGATTAATAATTAATGAAAATCTAAAATTGATGAGGATTGGGTTTTATCATTAGAGAACTTGACTTGTTTTCAGATGAAGATTTATGGAAGAAGTATGTTCCCCAGCCTGTCACTGTGAAACAGGACAATATATACGACTACTATGACATCCTAGAAGAACTGGGAAGGTGGGTATATATACTGCCATAACCTGAAGAGCCCTGTGAAGGGTGAAAGCAGTAGTTTTTTAGTCGGTCGTTAATCTTATTTTTTCTACATATACTGCCATATAGATAAACACAATTTTATAAAGCAGTCATCAAAATAATGCCTTTTCAAAGTTATTCAATTAGCACTCTTTGTTCCTAGAGCGCTCTATATTTATAAAACTGTATATGTGTATAGATTTTGAAATTTTATGTAAAATACAGTCCTCATATTTGAAACTAAACATTAATATGTCTTTTTATTGCTGAAAAAGGAATTAAATAAATACAAGATACATTGCAGAAACAGCTTTTTATTCGGACAAATATCAACTCATTCACCCCTGAAATTTCATAATGAACTATTCCAACCTTTGAATTGGAAGAGTTCAAATGAGTCTTCGGGGGTGAATGAGTTAAACAATAAGCTGCTGTGTGATTTTTCAAATGGGAGCATTATGAATAGGGAGAAGGAAACATTTGTTTAACTGTACATTTTCCTTTTGACACAGTGGAGCATTTGGTGTTGTCCACCGTTGCGTCGAGAAGAAAACTGGACGTGTGTTTGTGGCTAAGTTCATCAACACTCCTTATCCCCTAGACAAGGCCACTGTTCGCAATGAAATAAACGTGATGAACCAGACCCACCACCCCAAACTCCTCACCCTACATGATGCTTTCGAGGACAAATACGAAATGATTCTTGTCCTCGAATTGTGAGTATGAAATTTGTTCATATTATAGCATATAGGTACTAATAATTTATTTTTAATTTTTATTCTGAGTGCTGATGAAAATTCAGGTCAAACGTATATATTATGTATGTGGACTATTGGTTTTCAAAAATCAAGAGCATATTAATTGCCAGATCTTGATTTGAAATGTGTCAGCTAAAGGACTTGGGGCATTATGGGTAATTTTTGGCCTCATGAAAAGTACAAATTTCAACTTTAATTCATTTACCAATTTTTGTTATAAATTGGTTAGTTGGGGCTATCTGTCTTGGTGTATATTGTTTATAATGCCCATGCGTAGATGCCCTACCATAGCAACAAAATTGCGTTGCTAGCAGAAATAACCAAACTATGATGTTTTCGGAGCGTTAGCAGGCAGAAATGGAAGCCTTTGCATATGACAAACAAAATTTCCTTTCTACGACTGAACGCTGGTATGACAATGTTTACTGGTATGACAATGTTTACTGGTATGACAATGTTTAATCATGTCAAATATTTGTATGTTTGTTGCATGGGGAGGCTTTCAAAAATTGAAGAGTTAATTTCCTTTAAAATTGCCAATTTTCAACCAAATCGTGCACAACATACAATATTCATGCATTTTATTGTGAAAATGCAGATTTATGTCTCTGTCTGTAATGCCATATCTTCTTAACCAGTTGTCGAATGAATTGGAAATTTCATATTTGCCTACCTTATTTCAGATTGCAAATATAATGACTAATTCTAAATCCCCGATGAGGCTGGAAATACCCCTTATATTTAATGCCCCTAGTCCTTTCTTGTCAACTCTGTGAGCTGTTCTGTCTAACCCCACATTGTTCCATTGCCTGTTTTACAGCCTAGCAGGGGGTGAGCTATTTGACAGGATTGCTGCTGACGACTACAAGATGAATGAGGCAGAGGTCATCAACTACATACGACAAGTGTGCGACGGTCTGCGTCACATGCACGAGAACAGCATTGTCCATCTTGACATTAAGGTAACCATATCAAGTTCTTGACTTCTGCCTAAATGTGGTCAAACCAATCCAGGTGACGTACTATGGCATCTGTTCACGATCAATTTTTTTCATAAAATGACATCTTTTTAATTGCAAAATGAAATTTCATCAAATTAGACTGAAAACATCCCTAAGCGTTAGGGATTCAATATTGTTTATATTAAGGGGCTGATTTCCCATTAATGCCACGGCAAAAAGGTAATTCAGTCATTTTACTTTAAACAACTTCCCTTGAAATTTGAGATAGATCTCAACCACATTGTGATGGAGGCATTCTCTATTCTCAAGTAGTGGAGATTAAAAAATGTACAAATGGAAGGGCTGGTCCATCTGGGGAACAAAGGGGTTCAGGCCAAAAAATAAAGGCTATCTTAAAGTGTCAATATATTAGGCAGGATTCTCTGCTATTAAGTGATGGATACCAGCCAAATTTGGTTGGAAGCTCTATCGGGTAGTTAAGATTCAAAACTGTAAAAGGGGTGAAAAGGGGCTTATTTTGCCATATTGCTTTAAACAACTTCTTTTCTGGAGCTTTGAGGTTGATATCAGCCATTTTTGGTAGACAGCATTCTCAGGTGGTGGGTATTCAAAGTTTTCCAATTTACAATTAGAGTTTAAGAGCTGATTTCTCTGGAGTTTAATAGTATAAACCATATTTTATTTCGTAAATTTGCAATTACAATATACAGAACATGTAATTATTACATATATGAAATAGGATCCAGAAACAAGTTATTAAACTTATATCAATCTGTTAACTTGAGTTTGAGGGGTCGGACCAAAACAGATTGGTTGAGACTAAGTGAGTCATTTGATAGATATGTCAATTTCTCTAATTTATAGCCAGAGAATGTAATGTGTGAGACAAAGAAGAGCACAGGAGTGAAGATCATTGACTTTGGTCTTGCAACCAAACTCAACCCTGATGAGAAGGTGAAGGTCACTACGGCCACTGCTGAGTTTGCTGCCCCAGAGATTGTGGATAGGGAACATGTAGGATTCTACACAGACATGTGGGCTGTTGGAGTCCTTGCCTACGTCTTGTAAGTTCTTAACTGAAAGTACTCCTTCTCCTCATATTTTCTGTAGAGACGTAATACTTGAAGGTAAATTCAAAAATTAGTATTTTGATGCAGTCAGATGTGTTTAACTCATTCACCCCAGAAGACACATTTGAACCCTTCCAATTCAAAGGATGGAATAGTTCATTAAGATATTTCAGTGGTGAATAAGTTAAGAATTACCTGGTTATAAAAATCAGCGTTACTTATACACATGCCAATGTCCATGTTAGATCACCATCGTCATATGATGGAGTGTTCAAATTGTTCTTCTCCCTTTATTCGTCTGTTTTCTAGGCAGCCATTTTGATTTTGACAGTTCAGGATTGTTATCACTATTTCTATTACTTGACATGTCTTTCTCAACTTTTTATATGAAGGTTCCACTTGGTCCATAAATAGTTATGCCTGTTTCATTCTGAGACTGTTTGGAAAAAGAAGATGGCCACCAGGCAACCATATTGGATCTTGATAGTTAAAGCTTGTGGTTATTGTTTCTCAAGAAGAACTTGACAGATCTTTCTCAAATATCATATATAGGTCCCCCTTGTTCCTTAGTTATGCCTGTTCCATATTGAGATTACTTGAGAAACAAATCTGTACAGAAGTACTCAGCAATCCATTCTCAAATGGTGGGCAACAAATTCCTACAGAAGTACTGAGCAATCCATTCTCAAATGATGGGCAACAAATTTCCTCTGGGGTCTCTTGTAGTACATGTATTGGTAAATGTCATCCTTTTATCGAGTCAATTTCCCGATTTTTACTAATCATATTACCTGATAAATGTTCTTCTCCTTCATTAGACTGAGTGGGTTGTCTCCCTTTGCGGGCGAGGATGACCTTGAGACATTACAAAATGTGTCGATGTGTGATTGGGAGTTTGCTGAGGAGGCATTCTCCTCAATCTCACCTGAGGCCAAGGACTTCATTAGGAAACTCCTTGTGAAACAGCCAACGTAAGTATACCATATTTCCCACTTTGACAAATGTCCTGGGAACAGGATGGGTGCCTGCAATTAAGCCCCCTTCCTAATTTTGTCTCCCTCTCAAAAATAAATGTAGTTAATTTTTGTCTCTGACGTAAGGAAATTAGCTAACTGGATGCAAAACAACATAAACCCGAGTTAAATACTCGCACTAAATAACAGTAATTATATAGGTAAATGATGAAAATACTTTGCTTTTTTAGTATGTATACATTGCAATTTCACCTGGATTACCTGTGGTAAACTAAATGAGCAGTGGGCCTCCCCAGTTTTGTATTATTAGTTTATTAGTATATTGTGGTATGTAGCATGCCTGTGTACTTGCAGTTTCATAGTCATGTTCCCTTAATTAAAAGTCTGAAGTTACTATAGGAAAATAAGAAGATATTCAAAATGATCATAAACGTATGATATGCAATTTTATTGGCGAACAAAAATCAATTGTAATCATGGATGTTTTCATAATACCCTGTGGTAGATACTGCACTACATGGTAAAATACGAACTATACATATAATGTTGACACTTAGTGGGAGCCAGTGTAAGATTCCACCTGATTATACACCATAAAAATGGATGTTCACAATATCGCTGTTGTCTGTTTGTAGGAGGAGAATGACCGTACACGAGTGTCTGGATCATGCCTGGCTCAAGGTCAGTACTGTGGTCCAATTATCACAGAAATAAGATATCATACGCATTCTACTGCTTTGTGAAAAGATTCATGTAGCACAACCATTAATTGTTTTTATGTGACTATTTGATGACTAGTATGGTATGTACTCTGTCACGGTCATCAGACAAGGTCTTCATTGTCTGGTCTAAAGATGACAGGGTACATGCGTTACTAGTCATCAAAACATCACATATAAACACTTAATGGTTGTGTTACATCAATCTTTTCACAATCCATACTTACCAACATGAAGAAAATGTTTAAAAACAGATTCTACTCTATTTGGCGACATGCAGCCAAATTTTGACATCTGTACATGACACCAATATGTGTCCTTAATCCCCAAAATTGGCAAATTCATAGTTAACACATTTGCATCTAATGGCCAAGTAACCTTGAACGGGATCTGATGCTGTCCCTTCATATGTCGTATATCAATTTGTAAATTCATTTTTATTTTAACATTTTTAAGAAAAGACTAATAAAAATATCCCAAGAGGATGATGATTAAGATTTGTTGGCCGGAAAAGGGTAAAATTTGTGATCTCTAAAATAGTGCACTATTAACCAGCAGTTTGACGAGTTAAATATTTATTATTTAGCATCCCTAATAAAAGTTTTACAAAGTTTGCTAAGGAAAACAAAATCTGTTTATAAATGAGGCCATTAGGGGGTATTTACAATACATTGTTCAAACACTCCCAACATTTTTTTTTCTGAAATACCAAAGGGGCCCAAAGTCTGGGAAACAGCTAGCGATATGTAGTCAATTCATGAAGATTTTAAAACGTTTTTCAGACTTATTTACAAGGAATAGTATTGAGTTATCTTTTGTTTATGCATTTAGTGAATTAATTAATCATATTTTTATCAAAATAAAGGGCCATTGATGCCTGTATTTCATGACACAAAAAACATGGTTACCCGGTTTTGGTTCGGATAAGCACACACGGTTGTCCGGCTGCCATTATTTCTAACCGTTGCAGCCCCTCTTAAAACAGGTGAGTGTCTTCAGGCCCCTTGGGCCTCATGTTCACTGGTTGATATTGAAATTCTATTTTTATTCAGGGCGACTTGAGTGACCGCCAGACCAGGATTCCGTCCAGTCGTTACGACAAGATCAGAGCCAGAATTGCTCAACGCTATGTAAGTGATGAGCATGCTCAACGTAATCCTCTGCTATAGTAACGACTGGATAATAGGTTTATATCACGATTCAGGCATAATAATATTTTTCTCTGGTAAATAGAGTAAGCGTGTTCCACTGTCATGTTTTTTGTTTTAATGTTTGTGACATGACAGTAACGTACGTTTCATGGTTATTTCTGTGTCACGTCGTCTTCTCTATAAAAAATAACTATATTACAACTGAGGTAACCGATACAGGGCCCTTGGACCTCTTACTCATTTTGACAAAGATTGTCTGCTGCCCAGCTTTTGTAGTTTTGATATAAGGGGAACAATTCTTATGAATTTTATTTTCAATTTTTGAGATTTTTTGAGCCAGAAATGTATTTGATTTTGCCTCTTCCCATAATTGTGATCGTGATATTCTTAATAGGGATTGAACAGCATTTTTAAAATTTTCATGCCGGTATGAAAGTAAATCGGTTACATCCATATTGCATGAATCTAGCTAGGGCTTCATGTTTAATATGGATGTAACCGATTTGCGTTAATTCATACCAGCATGAAAATTAAAAATAAAAGCCAATCAATCCATATATTTAAATTTTTACTATAGAACAATTGTTTAGTTTTATTTATTTGTTCTTAATCTATTTACTGCGTTTTTTTTTATATGCGTCATCCTTTAAACAACATTGACGGAACAGCCCTATTTAAATAAAATTGGCACCAAAATTAACTGTAGTCATTTAAACGTTTGGTGCAGGGGCATTCTCCATGTTATCCGAAGTGAAGCGACAAGACTATCATTGAGCAAGGTTAATCTATGACGTCATAAGTAAACCATGTGTTACGTCACAAGAGTTTTTGCTTTCATACTCAAATGAAATGCATTTCTGCATGTAATGTTCATATAGTGGGTAGCAGCTAAAATGAAAATATCTGTTTATGAATCCAAATTTCTTTTTGTGAATGATTCAATAGTAATAGGGAGTAAAGTATGTGATGATATGTACTGACTCAATTCTATTGTTTTTCAGGCTGACTGGCCAGCACCTATGCCTGCTATTGGTCGCATTGCTAACTACAGCTCCCTGAGGAAACACAGGCCCAAGGAATACAACATCTATGATGCTTACTTTGGTAAGTTCATTCTGTTAGCTTAATATCGTGTAGCAGAACTGGACTGGGTTGATCGTCAGCGACCAGGTAGCTCAATTGTTAGAGTGTCTGTCTAGAATTCAGAGGGTCCTGGGTTCGAACCCCGCTCTGGCCGTTGAATTTCTCTTTCTCCTGTTACAAAATTGGCGAGCTTGCTAACCCATGTTTCAAGCATTTGGTGTACGCTTAGCGAAGGTAGCAAAGTGGGAAAATTGGCTAAATGACAACAAATAAATAATATTCAATATCAAAGTAATTTATTTTAATATTTATTAGGGATTTTTGATGAAATATGACGAGTAATCTATGTTTCTTTGTTTACACTGTTGTTTCCACTTCACATCTTAACAATAAAAATAATGATATTTAAAACTCAGGTCAATGTTAAGGCCCTTGAGCCTGTTGCTTATATATTTGTTAACTAGTGAGCTCCTAATTGCTCTAAAATATGACTGTAGAAAACTTTCACTGACTTCATTTGACACTGGCTGTTGTAATGACGTTAAAAATTGATAAAAATCCATTCTCTTTTATTGTACTCTCGACAGGGAGAAGTTTTATTCATTTGTTTTGATAGTTTTGTTTAAAGTGATTCTTTTATGTCTATTAATTGATAATTATATGGTTAATAACCAATGTAAATTTGCTTGTTTTCAGATCGTAAGGAGGCCATCCCCAAGTTTATTCGTCGCCCTAGGAATGTGGTAGTTGGAGAGAATCAGTCAGCCAGGATTGACTGTAAGGTCATCGCAGCTTCCCCGCCCATCATCACATGGTCAGTATGGAGACGGTTTTCAAAAATAAAAAATTGGCCAAGTAAAAACAATGTTGAACTCATTCACCCCTGAAATTTCATAATGAACAATTCTTTCCTTTGAATTAGAAGAGTTCCAATGTGTCTTTAACGTTGAATGGGTTAGGAGGCACGGTAGCTTAGTGGTAGAAGGCCGGGCTCGTGACAGAAGGTGTTCATGGCTAAGTGTTGTATCTTTGAACAAGATACTTGTTCCAGTCTACGCAGCTGTAAATGAGTATGTAGTTGGGCAGTGCTAGAATTGTAAAATGCTAGCTGTAAGTACCTAAATTGCAGCATCGGCTGTACATGTATGCTCTCCAGGGAGTTGAAAAAGATATAGGATGGTTGCAAAGGCCCTATAACCACGGATAATAACCTGTGAACCAATTTGAGACGACCTATGAACTAGGTTGTGATAAAGTGGTATATAAGAGCCTCAAATTATTATTATTGTTCATTATTGTCAAATCTGCAGGCACTTCAATGACAATCAGCTGACCCAGAGTATCAAGTACATGCAGAAGTACATGGGTAAGGAGTACCAGCTCAAGGTCAGCCGCTGCAAGGCAGAGGACAAAGGAGAATACATTGTGATCGCACAAAATTCCTTCGGACGTCGCGAGGAAAAGGCTACGATATCTGTGGAATGTTAGTACAGTACTTTTCACTTAATATCACGTCTCTTAATGTCCCTTTTTCGGTTATTATCATGTTTTTTTATGTAGCGTTTTTCCTGCTATATAATCTACATTGTATGTTATTCAATTCATTTATTATCACTTGTTTTGATGTCAATTTCGCTTAATATCACTTTATATTGCCCACTGTCACAAAAAATCATCAGTAAATGAAAGAATTATGCCCCTGAGAGTTATTTATCATGTGTTGGCTATAGAGCTAGCTAGTAGAACCAATCATTGTAGTGTCTAGAGAAACTGTAACAAGAGAGGCTAACTAAAATTTCTTAAATATCTGATTGATCACACATAATTATATATTGTTTGGTTTCAGCCTTAACACCACTGACACCCATGACCCCGAGCAGGTCTACCACCCCTATGAGGAGGTTAGTATATATATATGTGATGATGTGTCACACCTCATAATGTCTGTATATATATATATGTGATGATGTGTCACTCCTCATAATATCAGTGTATATATATATGTGATGATGTGTCACACCTTATAATGTCTCTGTATCTATATATGTGATGATGTGTCTCACCTCATAATGTCTCTATATATATATGTGACTGTGTGTCACAGGTCATAATGTCTGTATATATATATGTGTGACTGTGTGTCACACCTCATAATGTCTGTGTATATATATATGTGACTGTGTGTCACAGGTCATTGTGTCTGTGTATATATATGTGTGACTGTGTGTCACAGGTCATTGTATCTGTATATATATATGTGTGACTGTGTGTCACAGGTCATTGTGTCTGTATATATATATGTGCGGCTGTGTGACACACCACATTTTGTGTGTATATATATATGTGTGTGTCTGTGTGTCAGATGATTTTGTGTCTGTATATATATATGTCTGACTGTGTGTCACAGGTCATTGTGTCGATGTATATATATGTGTGACTGTGGGTCACAGGTCATTGTGTCTGTCTATATATATGTGTGACTGTGTGTCGCAGGTCATTGTGTCTGTATATATATGTGTGGCTGTGTGTCACAGGTCAATTTGTCTGTATATATATATGTGTGACTGTGTGGTTTATATTGGTAATGAGATATCAAATCACCTCCTCAGAATGTCACGAGCAATGTCGGAGCCCCCAGAGCCACCCAAGGATGAACCTCCCAAATTCAGCTTTGATCTCCGACCTCGTCTCATCCAGTCAGGAAGTGACTTTAAGCTGATCTGTTGTGTGCAGGCCCAGCCAGCACCAAAGGTCAGTATGCTTAAACTTGCTTTGTCATATTTCAGAAAATGAGGCAAACAAGCATTGAAGTTTTCGTCATGTTCAGATTTTGTATTATCATAAATGTAGAAATTTGCACAAGAAGAGTATGATATGCATACACCACATCTGCATGTTGACTTTCAGGTGACTTGGTACAAGAATGGGGTCGCTCTGGTAAAAGATCGTCATTACTCCATTTTCTACTCCACTGGAGTTGCCTCCCTTGAGGTGCTGTCTGCCCGTGTTGATGACTCAGGCCGCTACACTTGTGAGGCTATCAATGAGCTTGGAAAGGTGGAAACAAGCTCCAAAATAACTGTTGAAGGTAAGTGTTCTGTACAGTGCCAAGCTTTCTTTAGCTTTATATATTCTTCAGATGCACTGTAGTTTTCATTCACCCCTGAAATTTCATAGTGGACTATTCCAACCTTTGAATTGGAAGAGTTCAAATATTTTCTGTACAGTGCCAAGCTCCCTTTAGCTCTATATATTACATATACATTGAAGTTTTCATTCACCCCTGAAATTTCATAATGGACTATTCCAACCTTTGAATTGGAAGAGTTCAAATATGTCTTCGGGGGTGAATGAGTTAAAGTTATGATGCAAGAGTTTGTGATATGTTACAAGGCCTTGTGATTTATTCTGCAGACCGAGCTTGTCACGAGGACATCACAAAGGGGTCAGCTCTAACCTCTTCCACCTCACGCATGGTGAGACGGACGACTGGTGGTCACGGCACGGATGAGTCAAGCAGCTACCGCAGCGAGACCTCATCTTCCACTACGACCTCGAACTCAAGGTCAAGCCGGCGTGTCATAGAAGAAGTGTCTGAGGATTCCAGCTCGTACTCATCCAAACGGAGTGAGAGAATGAGTAAGCTAGACTGATCTCTTGTATAAACTTTAATTGTAGCAGATGCATCTCCAAGTTAAATGGAGATGAGACTCTCTTTTATTTACTGCTTCATATACATTATGTTGTTATGTCATTTTTCCGCCATTTGTGGAGCAAAAAAAAGTGTAAGCTTGCTTTTTTTCACCTTATAATTATTAAAATATTTCGTATATTATACATACTCCTGAATGGAGTTTGTGATGGAAAAAGCTTGGTTTTCTTTGCCTGATTAGAATTTGTAATATTTTATTTTATATATTTGCTCCTCTGAAAGAAGTGAAAGAAGAAATAAGCTTGGGATTCTGTGCCTTATAAATATTAATATATTGTACATTATACTCCTGTATTTGGAGTGAGAGAAAAGCTTTTACCTCATAAATCTTGTAACATCATTGTTTGAGTCATGTTCTGTGATCTTAAATTTGACTAATTAATGGTGCAATATTTAAAAGGGTGAAATGTTAATAAAATAACAGCAAAAAATATTATGTGATGTTGATGTTCACCATATTTACATCCTACACACACACACACACACACACACACAAAGAGCAAAGAGCTTCAAATTCCCCAGTAATTGATGTGAATGTTGCACTGGATCCATGTTGATGTACTTGTAGTGAGCACTGTACAATCATCACAATTAATGTGAAATTTGCATTTACTGTAGCTAGCTAAGTATAATCCCAGTTTTAACCAATTAACATACCAACGCTCACTGGCTCATGTATATGTAGTTAGATTTTAGAAATAGTTATCTGTAGTATCCCGTTGAGGGGTGTGACGAGACCAGAAACTGAGGGAGAGGGATGACAGATTGTAGATTGGCTCCCAGGGAGTTCTCTGGATTTGTAACAACTACGTAGTGGCTCCCAGGGAGTTCTCTGGATTTGTCACAACTATACGTAGTGGCTCCCAGGGAGTTCTCTGGATTTATCACAGATATGTAATGGCTCCCAGGGAGTTCTCGGGAACTGGGGAACTGCGTAGTGTCTGTAACATAAGTGTTGCATGCCTAGTCAGGGCATGTTTGTAAATCAGAGGTGATATCTAAAGGTCAGGAAGTTCAGATGTTGTATCTGAAAGTTGAGGATAACATGCCAAGGTTACAAAGATATCGCTATCAGTGAGGTGTTGATTGACAAGATCAACAAGGTTGAGGGGGACCGGAATGGTTATTGTAAGGAGGCAGGACCAAAATCGAATCACTCTTTATAAAATACTTATAAATCAATAAATGTGTCCACAGTTAAGTTATTACAATAATTTATCCTTATAACACATACTTCTGCATCTTTTTTTGTCGAGAGATGATTAACTTTTAAGTTCAAATAGCATCAGAAGATGTATTTCAAGCTCAAAATGAAGTTTTTTAAAAAAAGGGCGTGTGCAAGGACTATGTATTTTGTTTGGGACTGTGGGAATAAATTCACAATATAGAAATACTTTCATTCATTCAAATTCAAAAGGTCCTCCTAAAATGTTAAAATGATGACAAAGAAATGTTCATTAGAAGCGCAGAATGTTTCAAAGTTCAAGCCGTGATCAGTTTTGTGTACTGACATTGCGAAAAAACAGGAAACGCTAATTGGTGATGTTAGAGTGTTCTTTAAATACCTCAGGCGAGCACAGGTTGTTTATTTCTTTGGTAATAACACCCATCGCTATTCTTTGTTTGATACAACCATAAACTAAAATAATTTATCCACTGAATTTTCAATAAATGAAAAATTGATCGATTGGTGATCCAGGTTTTGGTACTGTCACCTTAGATCCAAATTTATATCTGGTCAGGGTGATATCCCAAGGTCAAGGTCAGAGAAGGCTGCTTCAAGTAGGGGATATTGCAAGTCTAAGAATATGCACAGGAGTGATAGAGAAAGGTCAGCGGTCAAATATTGTGTGTCTGGTGTTTATTCACATGGTAACGATGTACAGGTACATATACATCTAAATAAAACCATAAAGAATTGGGAAATTTTCTGTTTTTGATGTGCATTTGGATATATGCATTGACATGAAAGTGTTATAGACTACAGTGTATACGTACCTAATTGAATTGCCTTCAACATACGATAATAAAATATATATACTATAGGGTTTTATACAGCATATCAAAAGCATTTTATTCAGATTTGCTGCCAATTAATTTCAATTTTGATTTCATTTTAACATATTTAAAATCAGCATATCTGGTTATCTTCTAAACAATGATATATTCACATGCAAACATTTCGGAGGTCAAACTCAAAAGAATTTTCTTTCATGTACTTTCACTTTACTGATCAATGAAAAGTGTGGTTAATACTTGATTTTCATTACAACGTATATGTATTTTGTCTTTAATATTTATAAACATGATGCAGTAAATATTTGACAAATAATATAGTGGTTGACAAACCTTTAGGAAAACTGACCAGTAGATAACCATACAATGTACAGGTAATTATTTCTTCAAAAATTAGTGAAAAAACAGTGCAGTCATTTTGATTTGATACTGGAAATATAACAGGAAGCAATGGTTCAATATCTAAACTATTATGTGGCAGGTTTATTCAACAAATGATGTTCAAATAAATGCTGAAGTTCACAGTTTACAAGAATACAATATTAATGGAGTATGACCGAAACACACTCGAGAGGAACCTGTCCAGTTAAACTTTGGACATACAATATACCAAAGTTACACGTGGCCAATATAAAACCTGTCCGGTTAAACTTTGGACATACAATATACCAAAGTTACACGTGGCCCATATTAGAACTGTTGAATTTAACTCGGAACATACAATATATCATGGCTACAAATCGCCCATATTAGAACTGTTGAATAGAATTTGACATACAATATACCAAAGCTACACATGGCCCATACTAGACCTTTTGAATAGAATCTTTGATATACAATATACCAAAGTTATACGTGGCCTATATAAAACCTGTTTATTAGAACCTTGGGCATACAATATACCAAAGCTACAAACCGCCTATATTAGAACTGTTGAATAGAATTCTGACAAACAATACACCAAAGCTACAAGTGGCCCATATTAGACCTGTTTATTATAATCTTGGATATACCATATACGAAAGCCACAATTGGCTAATGCTAGATCTGTTCGATAAAACCTTTGATGTACACTATACCAAAGTTACAAGAAGCCCATATTAGTCATGTTGAATATAACTTGGAATACACAATATATCATGGCTACAAATGGCCCATATTAGACCTGTTTAATAGAACTTCGACATACAATATACCAAGGCTACACATGGCCCATATTATACCTGTTAAATAAATAGAACTTTGACATGCAAAATACCAAAGCTTCAAGTGGCCGTTATAAGACCTGTTGAATAGAACTTGGGATAAACAATATACCATGGCTACAAGTGGCCCATACTAAACCTGTATGACCTAGAACATGCACCAATCTGTACTGGGCCTGGTGGGCCAGGAACATACACCATCTAGTACTAGGCCTGGTGGGCCAGGAACATGCACCAATCTGTACTGGGCCTGGTGGGCCAGGAACATACACCATCTAGTACTAGGCCTACAGGACCTGGATCATTCACCATCTAGTACTGGGCCTGTTGGACCTGGAACATACACCATCTAGTACTAAGACTGTTGGACCTGGAACATACACCATCTAGTACTAAGACTGTTGGACCTGGAACATACACCATCTAGTACTAAGACTGTTGGACCTGGAACATACACCATCTAGTACTAAGACTGTTGGACCTGGAACATACACCATCTAGTACTAAGACTGTTGGACCTGGAACATACACCATCTAGTACTAAGACTGTTGGACCTGGAACATACACCATCTAGTACTAGGCCTGTTGGACCTGAAACATACACCATCTAGTACTAGGCCTGTTGGACCTGGAACATACACCATCTAGTACTAGGCCTGCATGACATGGAACATACACCATCTAGTACTAAGCATGTTGGACCTGGAACATACACCATCTAGTACTAGGCCTGTTGGACCTGGAACATACACCATCTAGTACTAAGTCTGTTGGACCTGGAACATACACCATCTAGTACTAGGCTTGTTGGACCTGGAACATACACCATCTAGTACTAGGCCCGTATGACGTATAACATACACCATCTAGTACTAGGCCTGTTGGGCCAGGAACATACACCATCTAGTACTAAGCATGTTGGACCTGGAACATACACCATCTAGTACTCGGTCTATGGGACGTCGAACATACACCATCTAGTACTCGGTCTTAGGAACCTGGAACATACACCACCAAGTATTAGGCCTGTAAGACCCGGAACATACACCATCTAGTACTCCATCTGTAGGACCTGGAACATTTGTCAACTTTTACCAGTATCCAGAACTTCACCTTTATGACCAGAAATGTAATGTATACACAAGTGTTCAGAATGATGATTGTTGATGTGCTCAGTTCACCCCAATAACACTATCATTACTCTGGCCGCCGTTGCCTGCCTAACCAGCTACTGTTTGATTGTTTAACCAGCGTAGCGAGGCTGGTAGAGTGTAGCCATTTGGAGATCTGTGTATCTGTGTTTTGAATCCAAGTGTTGTCTGTTACATTTTCCTTATACAAGTAACCATATCTTTTACAGCTTGCTACCCAATGAACACTACCATTCATGCATGTTCCCTAGGAAATGACATTTATTGTCATACCCTGGACACCCTTCCACACTTCCATTGATTGAGACCTGTTTGAATTTTCAGAGTTTGATATGAGATACCAAAGGATATATTCCATCACTGGCCAGCTTGTATTGCTTACTTTGAACTACTCATTTTTCATTTCTCTTGTTTTATTAACAATTTTTATTTCATATATGAATTGTAATTTTGAAAATTGACATTGCCTGTTATAAATATTTTACTCTTTACAGGACATTATTTATCTTTCAGTATATATAAGTTTACAAATATATTAATATTAAACAGTTATAATTGTGAGCTTCTGAAATCTGTATTATTATGATGTGTTACATCCTTGTGTAAGTGTATATCACTTCTCTTCATTCAGAATCTAAAGAAGAAACACCATCTTTTGAAAAGAATTTAGAAGCTAAAACTCTAAATGAGGGTGATCGCTTGAAGTTCTCCTGTTCCATCAAAGGGAAGCCTGAACCAGAAGTGGAATGGTTCCTTAATGGCAAGGTAAATAAATCCTAAGGTTGTATGGACAATTTATGATTATGATAAATAATCATGTGGTTGTATGGTCAGTTTAGGAGGATGAGAGAGAATTCTGTGATTGTATGGACAGTCTATGATAATGATAAATGTATGGACAGTCTATGATGGCAATATAGAATCATGTGGTTGTATGAACAGTCTATGATGATGATAAAGAATCCAATTTTTGTATGGACAGATTGTGATGATGATAAATGTATGGACAGTTTATGAGGTCGATAAATGTATGGACAGTTTATGAGGCCAATAAATGTATGGACAGTTTATGAGGCTGATAAATGTATGGACAGTTTTATGAGGCTGATAAATGTATGGACAGTTTATGATTACAATAAAAAATCATGTGGTTGTATGGACAGTTTTTGAGTATGATAAAGAATCCTATGGTTGTATGGTCAGTTTATGATGATGAGAGGATTTTGTGGTTATATGAACAATTGATGAGTATGAGACAGAATCATGTGGTTGTATGGACAGTTTATGAGTATGAGACAGAATCTTGTGGTTGTATGGACAGTTTATGAGTATGAGACAGCAAATCATGTGGTTGTATGGACAGTTTATGAGTATGAGACAGAATCTTGTGGTTGTATGGACAGTTTATGAGTATGAGACAGACTCATGTGGTTGTTTGGACAGTTTTAATGATGATGAGAGAATCCTGTTGTTATATGGACAGTCTATGAAAATGAGAGAGAATCATGCAGTATAATTTGTAAAGCGCTTTGAGACGACCTACATACTAGGTTGTGACTTGTACAAACTTATGTTTTTCTTATCAGAAGCTGATCAGTGACTCCCTTGTGTCAATCAAGAACATTGCTGGTATATGCACACTGACCATAGCCTCAGTCACAGAGGATGATGAGGGCACATACCTCTGTAAGGTGACCAATAGGGCTGGAGAGGCCTCGTCCAAAGCCACACTCAAGGTCAATGGTAGGTTTGTTGTATCAAAAACCACACTCAGGTCAATGGTAGGTTTGTTAATCAAAAACCACTGTCCAGATCAATGGTAGGTTTGTTACATCAAAAACCACAGTCCAGGTCAATGGTAGGTTTGTTATCAAAAACCACACTCAAGGTCAATGGTAGGTTTGTTAATCAAAAACCACACTCAAGGTCAATGGTAGATCTGTAACACCAAAAACCACACTCAATGACAATTGTAGGTTTGTTACATCAAATACCACACTCAAGGTCAATGGTAGGTTTGTTAATCAAAAACCACTGTCCAGATCAATGGTAGGTTTATTACATAAAAAAAACACACTCAAGGTCAATGGTAGGTTTGTTACATCAAAAATCACAGTCCAGGTCAATGGTAGGTTTCTTACATTAAAAACCACACTCAAGGTCAATGGTAGATCTGTTACACCAAAAACCACACTCAAGGTCAATGGTAGATCTGTTACACCCAAAACCATACTCAATGTCAATGGTAGATCTGTTACACCAAAAACCACACTCAAGGTCAATGGTAGATCTGTTACACCAAAAACCACACTCAAGGTCAATGGTAGATCTGTAACACCCAAAACCACACTCAATGTCAATGGTAGGTTTGTTACATCAAAAACCACACTCAAGGTCAGTGGTAGGTTTATTTACACGCAACTGAACTATTTCTATTTTTCATGTATATGTCTAGAATATAGACTTGTTTTGAAAACCAATTTGTCAAATTTAAAATGTCTTCTCATCTAAATACTTGTCTATACTATGTTTTTTGTAAATGTCAGTCTATAGCTATATGTAATGTCCATGTTATATATTCCAGCAAAAACGAAGAAAGAAAATTGCGTAATTGTGGATCCTCCAAGATTTCTAAGCCATCCCCTTGGCCTGTGTCTGGTGGATGGAGATGCAACTACCCTGGAGTGTAGACTCTCTGGTATGTGTTGTTTACAGGACAGTAACTGTTTTACCCTGGAGTGTAGACTATCTGGTAAGTGTTGTTTACAGGACAGTAACTGTTTTACCCTGGAGTGTAGACTCTCTGGTAAGTGTTGTTTACAGGACGGTAACTGTTTTACCCTGGAGTGAAGACTCTCTGGTAAGTGATGTTTACAGGACAGTAACTGTTTTACCCTGGAGTGTAGACTATCTGGAATGTGTTGTTTACCGGACGGTAACTGTTTTACCCTGGAGTGTAGACTATCTGGTATGTGTTATTTACAGGACAGTAACTGTTTTACCCTGGAGGGTAGACTCTCTGGTAAGTGTTGTTTACAGGACGGTAACTGTTTTACCCTGGAGTGTAGACTATCTGGTAAGTGTTGTTTACAGGACAGTAACTATTTTACCCTGGGGTGTAGACTCTCTGGTAAGTGTTGTTTACAGGACAATAACTATTTTACCCTCGAGTGTAGACTCTCTGGTATGTGTTGTTTACCGGACAGTAACTGTTTTACCCTGGAGTGTAGACTATCTGGTATGTGTTGTTTACAGGACAGTATCTGTTTAACCCTGGAGTGTAGACTATCTGGTATGTGTTGTTTACAGGACGGTAACTGTTTTACCCTGGAGTGAAGACTCTCTGGTAAGTGATGTTTACATGACAGTAACTGTTTTACCCTGGAGTGTAGACTATCTGGTATGTGTTGTTTACAGGACGGTAACTGTTTTACCCTGGAGTGAAGACTCTCTGGTAAGTGATGTTTACAGGTCAGTAACTGTTTTACCCTGGAGTGTAGACTATCTGGAATGTGTTGTTTACCGGACGGTAACTGTTTTACCCTGGAGTGTAGACTATCTGGAATGTGTTGTTTACCGGACGGTAACTGTTTTACCCTGGAGTGTAGACTATCTGGTAAGTGTTGTTTACAGGACAGTAACTATTTTACCCTGGGGTGTAGACTCTCTGGTAAGTGTTGTTTACAGGACGGTAACTGTTTTACCCTGGAGTGAAGACTCTCTGGTAAGTGATGTTTACAGGTCAGTAACTGTTTTACCCTGGAGTGTAGACTATCTGGTAAGTGTTGTTTACAGGACAGTAACTATTTTACCCTGGGGTGTAGACTCTCTGGTAAGTGTTGTTTACAGGACGGTAACTGTTTTACCCTGGAGGGTAGACTCTCTGGTAAGTGTTGTTTACAGGACAGTAACTGTTTTCCCCTGGAGTGTAGACTCTCTGGTATGTGTTGTTTCCAGGACAGTAACTGTTTTACCCTGGACTGTAGACTCTCTGGTAAGTGTTGTTTACAGGACAGTAACTGTTTTAGCCTGGAGTGTAGACTCTCTGGTATGTGTTGTTTACCGGACAGTAACTGTTTTACCCTGGAGTGTAGACTATCTGGTAAGTGTTGTTTACAGGACGGTAACTGTTTTACCCTGGAGTGAAGACTCTCTGGTAAGTGATGTTTACAGGTCAGTAACTGTTTTACCCTGGAGTGTAGACTATCTGGTAAGTGTTGTTTACAGGACGGTAACTGTTTTACCCTGGAGGGTAGACTCTCTGGTAAGTGTTGTTTACAGGACAGTTACTGTTTTACCCTGGAGTGTAGACTCTCTGGCATGTGTTGTTTACAGGACAGTAACTGTTTTACGCTGGAGTGTAGACTCTCAGGTATGTGTTGTTTACAGGACAGTAACTGTTTTACGCTGGAGTGTAGACTCTCAGGTATGTGTTGTTTACAGGACAGTAACTGTTTAACCCTGGAGTGTAGACTATCTGGAATGTGTTGTTTACCGGACGGTAACTGTTTTACCCTGGAGTGTAGACTATCTGGAATGTGTTGTTTACCGGACGGTAACTGTTTTACCCTGGAGTGTAGACTCTGTGGTATGTGTTGTTTACAGGACAGTAACTGTTTAACCCTGGAGTGTAGACTATCTGGTATGTGTTGTTTACAGGACGGTAACTGTTTTACCCTGGAGTGAAGACTCTCTGGTAAGTGATGCTTACAGGACAGTAACTGTTTTACCCTGGAGTATAGACTATCTGGTATGTGTTGTTACAGGACAGTAATCAGTTTTTAGCTTTAAACATATTTTTCTGGTTTATTTTTAAGAACTAACAAAATCATGTTTTATGCTGATATGCTATTGCAAATTTTAGCAAACCTAAGCCCTAAGCCCAAGTGCAATAGTTTATAGTTGAAATAGGTTTGAAACCATCATCCTTGAAACCTCTTTGAACAGTGAGTGCTCTTATTACTTCTGAGCAAGGTTTTATAATTGGTCAAATTTGCGACTATCTGTGAAGATATTTGGATTTAAAAGATATACTCAGGTTACGAGAAGAGTTTTATGACACATGTCCGAAGTTTGCTGGACAGTATATTTAACCAAAATGTAAATCCAAATTAAAACAGCAAATCAAATGAGTGTGAGATGCAGTTTTTTCTCCTGATGTTAGGTATTCTAGAGAATGTACTGAACAGATTATTGGAAAACACGATTTGTCCAAGGTAACAATGTAGTAAGCCCCCTGCCCTTTTATTAAATACAGGTAGCCCAGATGTCACTTGGTACAGAGGCAAGGAGAAAATAGTGGATTCTGAAGACTTCCGGTATGAGAGGGCGGGAGATGTTTACAAACTAGTGATTGTAGAGGTGTTTCCAGAGGACAGTGATATATATAGAATTGAAGCCAGAAATTCTGCTGGAACTGCCTCCAGTAGTTTCTCCATTAGGGTAGATGGTGAGTACTTTATATGAAGTTCGATGTCTTGTCATTTTAATTTCTGTGTCATGTCATTTTAAGTTCTTTGTCGTATCATTTTAATTTCTATGTCATTCCATTTTAATTTCTTTGTCATGTCATTTAAAGTTCTATAGCCTGTCATGAAATGTTTTATGCCATGGTGTCCTTCATCTGTATGTCTATTGTAGTATTTTCCTTTTAAACACTTCTTGTTAGGAAGAACTAAGTTGATCTTTACAAATTCGGTCCGGAGAAATGATGTATAAAAAGAGGATGTGGTCCCCTAGAGCAGAGGGGCAGGGCCTAATAGGGAAAATAGATGTAAATATTTAAATTCCTTCTTCCTCCATATGATTGGAAAGGATTTTAACCAAATTTGGTTAAGAACATCCTTTGCCAAAGAGGACTTTATTTTGTATAAACAAAGGATGTGGCCCCCTTGGGACAGAAGGGCTGGGCCAAATGAAGAAGTTATGTCACAACTTGGAAATGTTTGAGATCAGCATCCTTTATCCATAATGACCCTACTTGATTTAATTAGAGAAACTTATTCATGCTACCAGAACATACAATTGCTAGGCATGGATCGGTCTAGAGGTCCTAGAGATTTAAAACTTTTTAATCTTGATTTTAACTTAAGTTTAAGTGTATATTCGCCATCAGTGTTTGCTATTTCAATACCAGAGTAGACACCTGTTGGCCCCGTGTTCCGATATACATGTATGTATTCACCGTCAGTGTTTGCTATTTCAGTACCAGAGGAGACACCTGTTGGCCCCTTGTTCCGATATATGTATTCACCGTCAGTGTTTGTTATTTCAGTACCAGAGGAGACACCTGTCGGCCCCGTGTTCCAATCATTCCCTCACTCTCAAAGTGTAGATGAGGGAAAATCCGTCCAGTTTTCTTGTCCAATAAAAGATGCAGAAACAGGTAAAGAGATTCAGTGATCTGGTAAAACACCAGATTTGAAATTAATTTTTACTTATTAACCTCAAACTCTAGATAATGTACAGTTAATCATTTTGTCGATAAAGGAAATCATTGTTTGAAAAGTAAAACTACAATTACATTTTTTAAATATGTAACATAAAATTTTCATCAAAAAAATATTTGCGGTCACTAAAAATCCCAGAGCACCACTGCATGGATTATGTCCTTTCCTATTCTATCTTCTGTGTTCTGTCTTTTTTAAAATTCTGTATTCCCATTTCCTTCCATCCTAAGAGTTGTCTTGGGCATAATTGTAAAACTGGAAAATATGGGAGCAGTTTAAACCCCTGCCCTTTAATAATGTATACATTTGCTTGTAATGAAGAATAGAACACAATCGTTCTATAAGATTGGTTTCCATGGTCTGGCTCTGCCCCTGATGACTTAGTCCCAGGGTTATAGCATGAAAACTATTAAGATCCCAACCCTACCATATATTCAACTGTTGGACACAAAGAGAAGAATGCACACTAAATTGCTGTGCATGAACAGATAAACACAATGATTCTGCCTTAAATAGCCTAGAGGTTTTGCCCTGTCAATGGCGACTTAATCCTAGGGCGATACTGATTGAGATTCCTACAATATATGCGCTTGCTTGGCACGTCTTGTCAATCACAATCATGCTACCAAGATTAGTGCAGGGGTTTGGCCCCACCCTGGATAATTATTCACCGGGTCATAGTATAGGTTGAAATTCCCTCCCTGGGTGTGGTCGAGTGGTGGAGTGGACAGTGCACCGCCATTCACCAAGGTGGTCGGGGTTCAATTCCACGATCGGACGTGAGAAGGTATGGGGTCACTTGTTCAACCACGTGTGCTTTCTCTGCTACTCCGTTGTCCTCCCACTTTAATTAAAATTCTAGGCAACAAGAGTGACTTATATAAGTTGAAAGAACTTATTTCATAATTGTTGTAAAAAGAAATAAAGTTTATAAATTCATTCCCTTTAACCATATAAACAAACATACATGTATATCTTTAAACTATATTTCCTATTAAGCATCCTTGGTATATTTGAACTGGGAATCAGATGTTGTGTAAAGGAAATATGGAGATTGAGCACAAAAAAAGCAGTTTATATCTAACCCCAAATAATCAAAATGAAATATTGTATAAAATGGAGGGTGTTGCCCCTCTAGGTGCAGAACGACAGAGCCGAAAGTTTTTTTTTTTATTCTTATGAGAACAGTTTTCCTTGATTGCTTAAATACCAAGGTGAGTTAAAAGAAAGACAAAAAATGCACTCTTTCGCTGGGATTAGGTAAAGATATGGTGATTAAAAAACTCTTGAGTTGACATAAAAAAAAATCCTTGTAAACCTCGGGTTGTCCTTAGTATTTCATCTCTCTAATTGAATCACTATATCTATACTTCACGCAAAGAAAACAACTGATTCACCCGTTGTCAGTATAATGTGACCGGGCAGGATGCTGTGTTGGGCATTTCAGTAAGGTAGCACTATAAAGTCGGCATGATATCCACGCTAGACAAGGATGCAAGCAGACCAACATACCCTGTCTCCTGCACACACACGCACAAGCACGCATTCACTGCATACATGGAGGCACATCCTTAAATAACCTTAGCTGTTAATAGGGCGTTAAACAAAATAAAACAAAACCAAAACAAAACCCTAGGAAAAGTTTCCGCATGTATTAACACAGTATGTATTTATCTTCCACAGTTTTATGGAGCAAAGATGGTAGAACATTAGATGACACAGGTAGATTCAAAATCAGCCAATCGGGAAGCAGTTTTAGTTTTGAAATCCCTGCAGCCTTGGTAACAGACTCAGGTGTCTACTGCGTGGAGGCAAAGAGTGGTAAAGGCACTTGTAAGGGCGTTTTCACCCTGACTGTCGCTGTAAGTTCATCACCATGTGCAGATATTGACGTACTTCAGCTTATTAAGAAGGCAATGCAGGTGAGAGGGCAAGGTCAGACCAAAGTCAACCGGTGACTCGCAGATACATAGGAATACAATCCACGTTGTGTTGTTGATATAGATTTGTCAGTGGCAGTTATATACACATTCAATATTCTGTAAAGAAAATAGTTTCAAATCCACCAAATATTCTTGTATTTGTTTTCCCCAACATTCATGTTTTACAAAGAAATACATTTTGAATTATATGAAATTAATTTTTGCTTTCCTATTGTTGACTGTTGAATGTTAAAGTGAAGGCCAGTTAATTTGTAGTTACAATAGTTATAATATAATATTTTGGTTGATTATGTGCTTTACACACACATAAACGACTACCACATTTATACAATGCGCATGTTTGCTATATCTCCTTTAGAACTACTGTGACACTAGCTGGCATATGATCACAGGTGCATGTCACTATAGTCAAATAATCTATGTATACTCCATAAAGTATTGTCAAATGATCATCATGTATAATCTGTATAGTGTATGTGTATTAACTCTAACGTCAAATTTCTTAATGAATTAATACCATGAAGATATATTCATAACATCGATATTATAAAGTTACATTTTCATCTTGAAGGTCACAGCTTCAGTGACACTCGAACGAACCTAAAGGCATATAATCGTGTTAAATGGCATGTAGCTTGCTGGTACACAATGCTACAAAGTGACTTTCCATTAGTCTGTTTCACCTGTGTCAAATCTGTTAAAAACGTGTTCTGAAAAACCACAAAGCCTTGAGTCATCATATATGGACAGTAGCTTACTGGCATTACGTGCAAAGAGTCTGCAAAGCTTTACCCATATTCAAGGTCACAGGTGTCAAATATGTTTTAACACTCAAATGGCATCTTTAAAAAAAGAAAAAAAGCCTCGAGTCATAATTTATTGGCAGTAGCTTTCTGGCATTTAGCTAAACTGTTGGTGAACATAAATTACATTAATTTATTCTTATTCAAATTTTGATTAAACACTTAACAACTTTTTTAAAGAACTACAAGATATGATATTTTGCCAGTAGCTTGCTGGCATGTTGTCTGTGGCCAATATTCCAGGTCAAAGTTCAGCATAGTTAAATCACTCGAATTCTGCTGAAGAGGTTAGTGTCATTATATTTGTCATGTAGCTTTCTGGAATGAAGTTCTATGAAACCTATGAAAAGAAATAACCTTGACCTAAGTTCAAATTCATAGAGGTCAACATTGTTAAATTATTCAAGGTCAGGTTTAATGTGGACAGCAAGAGATGTTACAAAGTTTGCTGAAAGACCCATATTCAAGGTCACAAGCATGAAACAATATCTGAGGACGAAAAGAACTGCTTGAAGTAGTTTGCTGAAATCTATGTAATGCTAGGAGGGTTGTATCAGAAAGAAGGGTCACTTTAGTTGGGTATTTGCAGGCCCATTAGGCATCTTTCGGTTTTAACTTTCTACATTCAAAAATATTATCATGTGAAGATAAGAGAATTGTTACTGATATTGACGTTTGATCCAATATTATATAATGGTAATTATAACATTTGTTTTCTCTCTTGTAATGTACAGAAAAAGATTAGGTTATGATAATGGAAATATTAGCTCTGAGAATTCTTATAGCAGTAATTCGATTCCATATTGTAAGTATGAGGACTGTATTGCGCGTGTCCCAGACGTGGACACCACTGACGTATAACCCACACAGCTTTACTTCCTGTATGTGTCTGACCTTGCCCTCTACACCAGTCTCTTTCACCATACCAACTTAATCACTGTGATGTCGGGTTTCTGCACAGAAGCACTCCAGTGAAAATTCGGAGCATTTCTCTAGAACATTTACCAAATCAAACTTATTTGAACAAAAATGTTTCAAAGTAACGTTTCTTTGTAATGATATTTGATTTTGTTAAATATTTGATTCTTAATAATATAAATCTCCAACAATTAGTTGAGTTTGATTTGGTAAAAGTTGCATGCTGTTATAAATTTCCTAGTACATATATATTTATATATACATAAATTGACAAGTGTTTCTTTGGACCTCCCTAGTACTTTCAAGGGAATGATTTTAGATCTGGCTTTTGGTTGAGGAAAAAAATTAAAAGGGGATTAATTTTATGTTTTAAATTCATTAAACTGTCAACGATCGACAATGATTTTCCCCTGATGCACCTCTAAAGATGTGAAAGTATTAGGGAGGTACTAAGAATCTGTGGTCATTTTATATATTTAACATTCAAATGACTATGGATTTTTTCTGATTATTTACAACTTTAATAAGCAAAGTCCCTATTTATATGTAAATGTTATTTGTATATATAAATGTACAATATAACTTCCTGTAATTATCATTAATAACTAATTTGGTTGATACCAATAGATTGTGTCTGGGTTTTTTAATTAACTTGACAGCAATTGACAATGAATGCTATAATTGTTGTTTCGTTCTTGTCTTTTACAGTGAAGATTGGAGTATACTAAACCAGAACTGACGTTAGCATACGTTGTGATAACGAAGTAACTTGTGTATTGAATGTATTGATGGATATCGAGAACATCGTGAACACCACAGCAGCATTCGATAGAGAAACATCGGGATTAACAATGACAGATACATCATATCGATTTGGAAAAACTTACTATCACTTGTCCAACCAGAATCCCCAGGTTTGACAGTGGGACCTTCTACGTATCATCAAACATACATAATTTCGTTTGATGTGTTACATCCAGTGAGAAAGGAAATGGATTTTACTCACAAACATATTTTCATTTAAATGCTGTGCTGAGTGGCAGAATAAAAGGTATGGAATCGGAAGACTATCACAGCCAACAATGACAGACACTTATCTAACAGGTCAATATATCTGCAGACTATGGAAACAAACAGCATATCAAATGAACTGAGGAGACTCGCAGATTCAAAAGTTGTACTGTGGTCTTAATTTGGTTGTTGTGCTTTTATTAACATTTTGATTGATATATTCTCAAAGATAGGAGCCAGTTTGTGTATTGGCGTGCGTCATCAAAAGATGCATTTGATGCAAAGAATATGAAAAGCTAAATGTGATTGATTGCTTGCCTGGAAAGGAAGGACATTTTTCACAGTTTTATTAAGGAATGTTTAGTGGTATTTGGAGCGACATTAATACTCATCAATTATATTTATTTTAAGATTTAAGATAACAATTGTTTAAGACAACGCTATATAATCAGGTTTTGTATTGTTAAATTGTCATATGTGTTGATTTTACTCTATATTTTGATAGTTCATCAATGATATATTTATAGTTCTAATTATTTATTTGTTGGACGTTTCAGTCCAGAAGATAATCATATTTCCGGAGAGGGATATACATACTACACAGGACAATAAGTCGTTGCTATATAAGTTATTTGTAATTGTATTAAAACCCACGACATAATGCCCGATGTTCCATTGCAATTCTGATGTATCTGTTCTTGTTATCAACACTTAATGAGGAAGCTTTTTAGTCTCTCGAGGTATCTTCACTTAACTTGGAGGTTTTGTAGTCTTAAGAGAGATCTACACTTCTCCTGGAGTTTTTTGTGACCTATCAAGATATCTACAGTTAACCAGGAGGTTTTGTGGTCTCTCGTGGTATCTAAACCTATCCTGGAGGTTTTGTGGTCTTTCGAGACATATTCATGTAACCAAGTGGTTTTGTAGTCTGTCGATATATCTACAGGTAACCTGGATGTTTTGTGGTCTGTCGAGATATCTACAGTTAACCTGGAGTTTCTGTGGTCTCTCGAGGTATCTGAATTGAACCTTAAGGTTATGTGGTCTTTTAACCTTGGGATATTGTGTTCTGTCAGGATATATTCGTTTAACCATTTTGGGGTTTCACAGAATTGTTTTTGTGACTCCCAAGGATATCTACAGTTAGCCTTGGTGGTTTATTACCTTTCGGGATATTAATATTTAACCTTGGGATTATGTGACTTCTTGGAATATCACCATTTTTGTTGTCTGTCGGAATATCACGTGTTAACCTCGAAAATAACCTTGACCTCAGTTTTGTAATGAGACATCGGAAGCAGACAATGTCATGTTCGAAAGACGAGATACAAAAGGCACAATTGGGTTTTAATGTCCACTAAAATTTAGTCCACCAAAACATTTCAAAATATCATTTTTTTGGAAACGTAAAGAAAATCTAGAAATAGGATTTTAACATTTTTATAATTTTTAAAACATTTATCGAGCAAAAATATAAGGATAACACGATTACCAAGGACATGACCTGTGTTAACACATTACACTATATATAGCATGAATCCTTAACTTACCCCATCAAAAGCTGCCGTCGTCCCAAATTTATCCTGCTTGTAATATAATTTTCAAAAATTAATAAATGCTAATTTCTACTTTGGATTTTGTGTTGTTTGTATTTTTTTAATGATACTGTTGTAATGGCACCCGGGTCATAGTGTTTCTAGCTCACCTTGCCACGTCAGCAATGCTGTAGTCTGTCCTTTCTTTGTCCGTGAAATGGTCTAGATCCATGATATTTGACTGGCCGTTTTGTAGGATGGAGATAAAAAAAGAACACATTGACCTACTTTCACAGTCACATGGGACAAACTTAAAAAAACTTCTGAAGAACTGAAAGTCACGGTAAAGAGAATGTAGCTTCGTGGTAGATTCTCTCATTAATCGCTTACATAATCAGCTATTTTTTCCCAAAATCTGTTTAATACTGATTAAAAAACTTTAAAAAAAACCACAAGGAAGATGTTTAAAAAGAATGATTTCTTACAAAACACACGGGAAGTTGCCAAAATTAAACCAAATGTGCAATGATCACGGAAAAACAATGAAAATGTCGGCTTAGAGAAAAACCAACAAGTCAAGATGAATCTTTTCAGAATAAACCCAAACTGGCAATGGTGAAGGAAATTTAGACTTAAAAAAATGTTTATTCCATATTTCCAAAGCAAAGCTAAAGTTGTCTTATTTTGGAAAATTGAAGATTTGATCTGCTTAAAAAATGAATTATTACAAAAGACATAGAATATTCAAAAAACCCACAAGGAATATTACAAATACCAGGCTAAATTTGAAAAAAAAGGCAATTGTATATTAAGAAATATCGATTTACTATTAAACCAATGGAAAATGGCCAAATTCACAATGATGAAGGAAAGCAAAGAAAATTTAAATTTATTTCGTAATTTCTATTAATTAATTACAAAACACATGGAATATTAACAAAACGCATGAAATATTGCCAAAATAGGCCAAATTCTCAATGCTGAAGGAAAAACAACGAAAATGTAGGTTCAGGAAATCAAAACCTATGACAATCTTTTCAGAATAAGCCCGAATTGGCAAATGTAAAGAAAATGTAGGCTCAACAAATTGTTTTATTCCAAAACACATGAAATATTTCCAAAACAGGCCAAATTCGCAAAGATGAAGTTTTTTTTGGAAAAGAACGGTTTTGCAAAAGTTTCTGGAATATTATCAAAACAAATGCCAAAAATATAATGCGCGAGGTACTTTTAAGCTTTGCAAGTTTGGCATTTGTTTGAAAAAATATAAGATTGATTTGCATTCAAATGAGATTATTACAAAAAAACATAGGATATTAAAAAAAACACAAAGAGTATTGCAAATATAAGGCTAAATTTGAAAAAGAAGACAAGGATCGATTCATTATAAAAGAAAACTGAGATTAATTCGTAAAAAAATAGATAACTTTATTACAAAACACTTGGAATATTAACAAAACACAAAGAATATTGCCAAATTTCTTTGTCAAAGCGATTAAGCCCCTTGCTTTAACTTTAAAAGTAGGAATGAGGATCGTTTTACTATGAAATTGAACGATGATTAATGTTGAAAGTGAATTTATCAATGTTACTCTGAAGTATTTTTCCTTATTTTTATCATTCGCTTACTTTCTAATATTTCTTGTCAAGTCTTAATTTCATGAATCAAAACTATTTTCTTTTCCAAAATAATTAATGCAAAACACATCGAATATTAACAAAACACATTAGCAATGCAAAAGGAAAAAAAGGAATATGTGTGTTTTAAAAAATTAGTTTCTGACAAAACAAATAACCAAATTAAAAGAAAAAAAGACATATAATAAAAAAAAACCATATAAAATAATGCAAATATAAGGCCTAACTTTTTTCCAAAATCATTTAATACAAAACACATGGCAAATTCAACGGTAAAGGAAAAGCAAGGAAGATGTCTCTTTAAAAGCCCGCCTCCTACAAAACACACAGAACTCAAAGTATATATATTTTTTGGATTGACGTCGCAAATATTCTTTTACTTTACTATTATAAAATAATCGGAAAGTATATCAGAGAAATAAGTCGTGACTGTACGCGGGGCGTTCACAATATTGCTCCTAGACGTTATGGCTGGAAATGTCCATTAAAGAGGAAAAAGGCCTGTTACACAAAACCAGTAACATACACATAACAATAAAGCCGGCTTTTGGACTTGTTAATGACCGGAGGTCTATGTCGTTATTAACTTAGCCCACATATACATCAAATCCAGGCCTTGCTCATTTAAATAATAAATTGATTGTATGTGTGATGTTCCATTGTTCTAAAGCAGTCTCAGAAGGCCACATATCAATACCGTACCGACAGACTGATAGGCAATTTGATTTATTAGATGTTGTTAGATATCACACTGACCTGTGGTCTGGTTTGCTTATTTTATACATTTGTAGCATGCAAGCTAATTGGAAGGATATACGCAATGGTTTTGATACTTTTATAACAGTAAACTTATCAAATAGATGAAGAGGCTTCAAAACATTTCAACCAAGACAACTGATTGGGTAGATAACTTTGGAAAAAATAGAACAAAGCCTTTGATATACTTAAACAACCAATATTGATTTGTCGGTCAGAATGTATGCGTAATATTAGCAATACGTCAGATGTTTTAAAAGAAGACGGTAACCTTACTCTGCAAAGATTTTACGACTCCAATGCTAATAACACGTATCTGTGGTGATGTTACCATATTAGTCATGTGAGTTAGTACCGTTTTAATCGACACAATCATGGAGGACCTTCGGGACATGTTATATCGTCAACACAGTAAAACGCCTGTTTTTAGCTTTCATGTAAACTGTATATTGATGCTATCGAATAAAGTGATATAGATAATGAACCACTAATTCAGTTGATACATCACTTTACCATGACCTCTAACATAAAATCATCAATGTTGAAGAAAATATATTAGTGAAGCAATTCAACCATCTTAATTGACATATTAAGGGAGGCATCTATTAATCAATTATTGGGGAGATTATACAGGTAATAATGAATAGGTTTTCCGGTTACCTTTTACTTTGAAACAACAACCCTGTCACATTGAAATAAAAAGTATGTAGTAATAAATGTCATTTGCCGAATAATTAGATAAAAGAAATATCGGCAGTATATCTACGTATTAGTTAATCAAAGTACATTGCCTTTTCGAGAGAAATGCGCCATCTTGACTAATGTAATAGAACAGAGGAGTTTAAACAACGCCGTAATTCAAACTCAAAATTAAAGAAACTTATGGTAAGTATAAGCAATGAAATGACTGACATCTCACGTATGCTCCGTAGACACGCAAGGATAAATCGATGTATATATAAAAACGTTATAACTGAAGCACTCTGTAAGGTCTTTGTGAATGGTTCTGATACGATGTTTGATGAATTCAGGCAAAACGTGAAACAAAGACAACTCCGCAGAGAATGGGACACAGTTCGTCCCACGAGGTACACCGACGACAGTCTGCTGAACAAATATTGCTATTGGACTATTGTGGCAACCCTGACAATTAAATTAGGGACTGCACCCTCATTTGCCTTAACATTAGTTCGAAACATGTCTGTAGCCTCGGAATGAGGAATGGGCGTGTTTGTTCACTTGGGTAGAGAAAGGTGGAATGGTCTGATAGAAAAATCATTCCAGTGTAGAATGTTACTTCATTCGACTCATCAGCAACGGTGTATTTATATATGATATTACTTTAGTCGACTCATTAATTATTCTGTTACTGTATAATCATCGGTATTATGATTACTGAAGCAAGAAACCCAAATGAAATCCAAATTGGTTGAAACTACTGTTAAAACAAAAGGGAGGTCGGGTACATCAAATTTCTTAATGCTATGCATTTCGAAATGTACACGAGTACTTGTTTAATACAAATGAAATAATTAGTTTAGAGAATCAAAATTGATTGACTCGAATTAAATTAACCTGATAATCAACCATCACGAGTTTGGGAACCCTTTTCTCCCATAATGTTCATACCATATAAAGAAAACTGTGTTTCTCTTTATAAATATTCTTTCTGTTTCCCACCGGGAAACGATTGCCGTAAATAATGACGTCACTATTAAAGAAGACGGTGCAAGGAATTGTTACATGACGTCATAAATAACAGATTGACCAATGAAACCACGTCCAGTGTGCTACTAGTGAGTAGCCAAAAGTACTAACCAACTCCTTGCAGGTTCATTCAAGGAGTCGGGAATGATGAAACATATAGTGGTTGTTAGAGAAAGGGTACTATTAATAATTCGACTAAGTTATACTGTTACTTAGTAAAACGGCCGTTTGAAGTGTTATAATTGTTTGTTTAAAAGTGAGATACATACCATGCTTATATGGAATCTGTAAGATTTTTAATAAGTATTAAAAACATGAAAAGCTCTCACTAATACAGACTTATGACGTCACATTAATTAATAAGACATGGTACTTCGTGATTAATCTGTCAATCATAGTTGATCTTATAGCTTAAATAGACAGTGAATAATGGGTGCCTGATACGTGGTATATGTTGTAGGTGGTTAATCAACCAGGCATGATTTATTTCTTGAGGATACTGAAGTAATTTACCGATGATCGTCGATATAAATCATGGTAATTGGCATATGTGAGGAGGCTAAATCCATATATACGACTTACAAGGTTTTTCATTTCAAGTATGTAGATTTCCTTTGAAAAGGACAGCTCAATACTCACAGATCCTCTTTATATAGAATATATCATAACGGTTTAATACGGTTCTTAGTTAAGATTTGTCTATAAGGCAATTAACATTATTTTCAAATTAGCCGTCTCGGTTTACATTAGTGAGTACCTAAATTTAAATTTGATATGCATGTTTTTATATACGTCCAACATGCGTCCTGCTGTACCTAATTTTATAAACTGAACGACGTCATAGGTAAAATTAATACTCAATAATTTGTTAGATTAATTGTGTATTAAGGTGAAATGCATGAATATCCAGCCTTTGAAAAAGTGATGCTTTTAAATATTCCAGACCTTACGAGGGACTCAGAAATTTTGCAAACAGATAAAAATGTATTTTTTTTTTACTTAAGTCTTGTAAACAGGATCCCTGTTCCAATGGTTAACGTTGTGAGCTTCTGGTTGGCAAAAATAATTTCTGATTTTCTATGTTTATTAAAATAAAAACAATTTCGACTTATCGTTTGTTACTTAGCTTCAAACAGAGTTTAACATTGAATATTCTCTCATTAGTTAATGTGTCGCCCGTGTGTGACCTGAAGATAAAAAGTGTAATACACATATCTCAAGTTTGACGTGATCGCCATGATAATATACACAAAACTACCCTTTTTGAGTTATTTTAAAAAAGAAATGAAATTGGAAAAACATGTAGATATGCTATACATTTAAGAAGTTGGATTTCGTAAAACAAAATTGTGGACGTGGTGACGGTAGATGATCTTATTTAAAGAATTAAGGGGACTGAATGAGGACAGAAAACTTTTAAATCTGCTACTGAAAGAACGAATGCACCACGATTCTGTATTTTATTGTATATTTACAGTGGCAAGTATATTCTCCAGGGAAAAAAATGTGCATTACTAGAGGAAAAACAACAAAAGAATATCGCGGTGTAAACCAGACTGAAATTCAAATTCACAATCGATAAAACAATGGCGAACTATGAACACAGGAAAGATAATAAATCAAACATATAGACACTGTAGGTTGGAGATGTGGGGATTTAACGTCTCGCTTATCGAACAGATCAGTCGTAAGTTATTCCGTTTGTCATGGTTTAAATATAGATAGCATATGGTGTCCTTGATTTCAAGCTCTGGAGGGCATATGCGATCGACGTACGTGGTCAATGATTTTCTTGTTATCGAAACATTTACAGCTATCTGAATTTGAACTTGTAGGACTTTTTGTCACCAGTCCTGATAAGATCAATAAATTTAACCCCATTCAAAAACAAAAGCAATTCGGTTGTTCCAAAAGGAATGCTAACAATCTGCTGGAAAATATTACCTTAAGCAAGCTACCTATGTTTCAAGAAAATGTTCAACCTCCTAGTGATACCGCCGTCCGCCTTTTTTGTGTGAAGAGAACTGTCATCATAAGAGAGCAAAAGAGTTCCTTCAGATTGGTTTGAGGGATAGTAGCGTAAAGATTCAAAAATGAAACGTTTTGATAGAGGAAACATTTAATAAAGATGATGTTCACGATTTAAAAAAAAATATGTCAAAAAAATCCAAACGCCATTAATGCCAATATACAATCGCACGATACAATCGTCCCCCTGATCTAATGGATTGAGATATACACTGAGACGTTAGGGTAATGGGTTGGTTTAGCAATTAAAAGAGCAAGCCATTAAACGTTGTTTAAAACGGAATCCAGTACAAACGAAGCAGGTCCGTATCCAAACCATACAGAAGCCTGATTAATTAGCATTTCGTTTTTTCAAAAAAATGGAGAGGAGTTACCTTGACTAATTATTAAGGCAAGCATGCGATAAAACAGTTGTTTGCAAACAAAGATTAATTTGTTAACAGTTTATATATGGTTTAATATTTTAACTTGTAAAATAACAGAGATTACTGTTTGTTCCTAAGCTCAGGACCTGTGTTACTAGAAAGGGATATGGTAAACATTGCTGACTAATGACAATAAGGATTTCAAAAGCAAGTTGTGTGAATGGTGGATTTTAAGTTATACAGTTCTTTCACATCACTTATTGGTATGTCGCTAGAAAGAAATCATGTCTACCATGATTAGTCATGTAACGTCGATGAACACGTCTTAAATATTCTACCGAACCGTAATGGAATACAGCTGGCGTGAAAATATCTCCAAGTACATAACTAAGAGGATGCAGATAAGGGAAACATGACCAGTAAAACTCGAGTGCTAGAGGAACGGTATTGTATTTCTCTGTCATGTGATTAAGATATACATTCAGAAATTGTGGATATATACTAATATATCCTCCTCGCCTTAACAAACCAAATAAAATGAATCAAATGACCTGCGTATAATGCTCATGACCGATGTTTAAAAGCAATTGCTCATAAAATGTAACGGCGAGGGGAAAAAACATCTGATAACGTGCCTTTACTGTATTTGTTCAAAATAATATAAAACAATAAAAAAATGTGTGCAAATTTTATTATCCAGACATTCGTTAATAGACAGATGTGGTCGTTGATTTGTGATACTTCCTCAGCAATATTTTCGTACACATTTTACATAAACAGTCATCCACTAGTAAAGAAAAAAATACTTAGTATGTCAAGGAAAGTATGGCATTTGAACGCAAGTTATTCCGATTGGACTTACTGTTATAAAAGAAATCGGCGTTTTTGTTTGAACTTTCAAATAGTAACATGCAGTTGAGTCATCTTAGTCTTGGGGAAGCGCAGTGGGCCCTATTTGTGCGGATTTTTCTTTTCTCAAATCTGTCTGAGCAAGGAATGATGATATTCGTACATAGCGCCAGATTCAAACATATAAGTACCTTCTTATCGAAGGCCAATGCACTTTTTAGTTGAAAATTACAAAAAACAAATATATTGCCAATATTTACCATTGTTTTATATACAATGTAATGGCCTTTGTTATTTTTCCCTTCGTGACTTAACAAGGACCTTTTAAAATTTTATTCCCTGGCAACAGTCATATGTTCGTTTTTGTAATATATATATATATATATATATATATACTGAAGAGCCCCAAGATTGGCGAGAGTGCTAGCGAAATTTAGTATCTGTGTTTTTTTAAAATAAATATTGTTACCGTCCCATGGACGTTTAACACTGTATAAAAAGAAAAATTCTCAACAACGAGTCTTTAGTACTTTCATCTCTTCTAGGAGATTCTACAGACTGTTTATTTGAAGTATATGTTGTGACGTACCCGTCATAACGATATCACAGCAATAGAACTAAATTAATTATAGTCTTAAGGCAAAGAGAACTATTTGTTTAGGATTTAATAGCTATGGCGGGTACGTATATAGCGGACGTCGCTATAGCGAACTATTATGTGACGTCATAGTTTATGACGTCACAACATATACGTCAAATCAACAGTCTGAAGAATCTCCTAGAAGAGATGAAAGTACTAAAGACTCGTTGTTGAGAATTTTCTTTGAATATTACTTCTTCGTCCGTAAGGATCACTTCTCTGCTTTTATAATACATATATATATATATATTTGAATGCAAAACCTCGTCGTTCTATCCGTAAACCAAGTGTTGGCATTTTCCTAATTGTTTTGTTGGAATAGAAACACACAACAGCACATCACACAAGGGATAACCGGAAATATGAACTCAAACTAGAATAGAATAGAAGAGATACACGAATGATCCCACTAGAAATCAGATGTATACCGAAGATGAAGGGTTTCATCCATAACATAACGAACGCGACACTTTAGCCTTTCTCTCTAGACCTACCTGCGCCTGGATCAGGCTTATATCCATACGTCGTTATTTTAGGATCTTTAGTCCTTCTGATCGAACCTCTACCAAGAAAAAAATATAAAGTATCTTTTATCTTCTACCAAATATATATAGGTAAATTCTTGAATACACCGTTCTCTACGATAACTGCTGTTAAAACAGTTATTTAATTTTCACGGTAAATACAAGGATTTGGATATGTTAGAAAAACATATCAATTAATCAATAATTTACAAATAAGAAATTGTTCCAATTTCACGATGTTTCGCTTAGTAGATTTGATACAATTAGCTGACATAACGACATAAGACCAAATAAGTGTCACTCGGTGTGTTTATACAACGTGTATGCTACAAATGCATAATAATTTGTGATGGATAAGGTAAATCATGGTCACGGTTGAGTTATTCAGGATGAGTATGACAAGCTTACCTACCTTGCTAACAGACTGGCCTTGGCTTAACACCGAACTAGTACGGACAGTTTTACCTGTCTGTTCAGTGAAGGATGTCGTTAGAATGGCTATAGGAAAGGGGAAGATGAGGTGGATCTGAGTTTCGTATTTATATTCCGTGTAATTAGAAGATGTCTTCAAGCAATATTTGGATGTTTTGTGTTGTGATTTTTAATACTTATATGTTGACATCGTCTCAAGAAACCAGAGGTAAGTTTCGTCAAAACTACCAGTTGTTTTACGTTTCCATTTTTCATGTCTCATTGTAATAGAATATCGCAGTCACTTACATTCGTGTTTACACTGTTATGTAACAAGCTAGAGAAAAACACTTGACAAAGTAAAATGTCTTACGTTAAAATGAATTATACAAACTGTACACATTTCTACAGAAAAATAAATTGAACACATCGTCTGTCTGTGATCTACATTTATGTTATTCTATTGATATAGAAATAAAATAATTCATTGTGATCTCTTTAAGGTTTGTTTCTAGCTTCATGACTTGGACTTGAGTAATATATCAAGTGTTTTGTTAGTATGGAATATAGATAATCTCGATCATGATTAATCATTTTTTATTGTTGTCATACGTTTATGCTTGCAGAAACCAGTGAAAACATAACTGTCGAAATCCCGGATTTTATAACAAATTCAGAAGACTGCATTTTCCCTTTGAATTTTAATTTAAAACTAAAATTTCGAGGTATTTTATCGATGGACCTTTCGAGGAACTCCCACCTACATGCGAATAAACCTGTATACGTCATTAGGAGGGATCCCGAAGGAAATGGAATGGTTATTCCGGATCAGCTCCAAGACATACAGGTTTGTATCTAATTAATATGTGCATGCTGAGTGTAATATCCTGTCATACATGACAGAATCACGCCGACATACGATAAAAAGTCATGATGTGATGAATTACTTCCATTAATTTCCAATAGAATAGTTTATAATATATAGGTGCTTTGTTTATTTTGAAGAGATGTCATGGTGTCATCGTTTGTTTCAGCGATTTAAATAGTGAAGATGTTTGACACTAAATAAATATGATGACCCACATTTGGTCATCAGTATATTGGAAATGGGCATCTGGTTTCAATATACGTATACTGTAAATTCAAGACCTGATCAAGCAGAAAACATTAAAATACCTAATCCTACTCGTCAGATACACCCCTCTATAACGTTCATTTACACTTGTACAGTGCTTTACATGAAGGTACGACTTTTACTTCCTTGTGGCCTCGGGCAACTTCAGGTGAAACATGATAGATAGGTATCAATTATTATAATAGATCCGTCGTTGGGTTAGGTAGTTCAAATTAACCAAGCTACATTTATGATGAATATTGAAGCAAATCATATGTTTTCCTTCACAGCAAATCCTATCTCTAATGAGCAATGCTATCATAGTGTGTTAGCACCTCTCTACAAAAAGATGTTACGTAGAAACGTAATATTGTCCAGTAGTGGTCGACATGTAACATGTAATTGTGTTTCATATAGCAAAACAGAATATTCATGTATACTGAGCACCGGTGGCAATATGCAGAATGGCAGGATTGCAAATGGGTTTCTGAAGAATGTTTGTCCATATTTCTTTTGTTCAAGAATGAATAATTCAGATTTTCGCATGTTGAAAAGGCTGTGATGGATTTTCCATTTATGCAAAACGCTTCTATCCAAATATTTGAATGCAGAGAACAACTGACCAAAAATAAATCACGTGACCCGATCTTACAACTAGTCGGGATGGGATTTTGAGAATTTTAAAACGTTACGACATATCATCTTTCAGCTGTTGATGTTACCCGACTATTGTCTAAAAAGTACATCATTGTAATTACACTCTCGATAAAAATAGCAAACAAAAGGTCGAGTCGGATACTTCTAATGTCGTCTCGTTAGGTGTAACGAGATAACATTGGACACATGTATGTATTCATCACATTAGGTAGGTGTTGTTACATTGAAGAAAAGCAAACTGCTTGCCTATCATTTTCTGAATAAGACTCATAACTAAATGTAGTGTTGACACTACGCAAGGGCGAGCTAGTGCAAGTGTGGTGTACACGGTTGTCCGGTAGGAACGTAAACATTATCTCTCCGTTCGTTACGATGACCATTGTTTGTATTTAACAGTAGTTGCTTGCCAGTTGACGAATGATATATAGTGCTTACTGATGTATTCAAAGCAGCCAATAACAATATATCGGGAGAGTTGTGCCATATGTGTGGAACAATGGTCACTTACCGGTCTACATGACTTTGTGTCTTTCTTATTATTTGATGTCTCCCAGTTTCTGTTATTTTGTGACAAAGATTGGTAACCAAATCATATATATCATACATCGGTAATCAAAATACCAGTATCCAACATCGGTAATCAAAATACCAGTATCCAGCATCGGTAATCAAAATACCAGTATCTAACATCGGTAATCAAAATACCAGTATCTAACATCGCTATTATAATTAACCCTATCAAACATTGGTGATTATAATACCCATCAACCATTGGTGATTATAATACCCATTAAACATTGGTGATTACAACACCCATTAAACATTGGTGATTACAATACCCATTAAACATTGATGATTACAACATTACAATACAACACTAAACATTGGTGATTACAATACCAATTAAACATTGATAATTACAATACCCATCTTACATTGGTGATCACAGTACCCGTATCAAATATTGATAATCACAATACCCATCTTACATTGGTGATTACAATACCTGTATCAAATATTGATAATCACATAACCCATCTTACATCGGTGATTACAATACCCGTATCAAATATTGATAATCACAATACCCATCTAACATTTGTAATTACAGTACCAGTATCAGATATTGATTGATAATCACAATACCCATCAAACATTTGTAATTACAGTACCCGTATCATATATTGATTGATAATCACAATACCCATCTAACATTTGTAATTACAGTACCCGTATACATTATTAATAATCATGTTACTCGTATGAGACATTGGTGACTATTATACCCATATCAATCGTAGGGACTTATGATACTTGCATCAAGCATAATAATGCTTTATATGACAGTTAACTTTCGTATTTTATTTTCATTTTTTTTAAAGCACAACATATATAATCACTTTAAGTATGAAGAGAGCATATCACCAGTGATATATATAATGATATAAACGTGTCAAGATTTATCAGTTTTGTATATATCATTTTATTAAAAGAAGGGAAAAAATAACTCAAATTGATATTCATCCTCAATAGTGTCCTTACAGTACGTGTCAATGTGTTAGACCATCAATGTACAGATATCTGGGTCAAGTAATCGCATTTCTTTCAGCTAAAAGTTTATGAACTTAGTTATACCAATGCGTCAGTACTACTTCTAATGGTATTTAGTTCCGAACTTCAGTTATAAATTCAATAATTTACGTTACACTTTCAGAACGTTTATAAGATTATGTTTATTAGATGATCTTCGGAAGGCCTCATACTTTTTACCTTGTACAGCTTTCAAAAGTCAGTCTGAATGATAATGCATAACTACCGTTGTTGCTTGTAACCCCTACGGACAAAATGTCAACTCGCTGACTGACTTCGTCGTGTATTGTTTTGCCTGACTTACTGCCTTGTACTGCGGGGGAGTATTGAAAGCTGAAAGACCAAGTAAATAAAACAATATCACATCGTTCATAGTTGATACAAAAGGACAACAAATGTTTATATATGAAAAGTGCACAAACTTTAAAATATGTTTAAAAACATGCTTTGCATTATTTCATCAGATTTAACAATGACTATTAATAAACTTTTAGAAACATTACACTTATTATTTTACACCGATAAAATAGGAGCCTATTAATGAAATAATCGACCAAGGATATGCTTCTTTCATATATGAATAAGTTGTGATCATAATGAGATTATACTTTAATTTGCTATCATGATAGGAACATGTAGCATGATGAAAAGAAAATCACAAACATGTTGTTCATTACATCAGATTTGTTTTTGCTGCAAAGCTGTTTACTTAGTTATTTCATAATAAAATCATTACAAAAGAAAATGTTATACATTAATTCCTTTGTTTATTAGTTTGACATATGTTCCAAACGTAAATAAAAAAATATATTTCAATTAATATCACTTTCTTAATGTTTTCAAAACTACATCTCAGTACGTTTACACACAATCATGTTTATGAGGTACTACCTTATTTTAGAATTGTAACGACACGACTCATTTTCTCAGTGTCCCTCTTTGAAGTAGAATGATAATTGATAAACATTGTTTTTATTTTATCGTTGAATAACCATACTTTTATTTCTCTATGGCCATTAAAATGTCAGGTATAAACTTCTCATTATTCACATGAATGGTAACTTATAAAGTATAGCTTAATTCTTTTTGGTTCTATGCGTCGTAAAATTAATTAGCATATAATATTTCATGCTCTAATATATACACCTACAATACAAAAACATGTGCTTTATGTTTTCATTAAGATATATTAATAGAAAAATACGTATAAGCTAACAAAGCTCATGGTGTGCGTTTTATTACACTGGAGAGTTGATTGGTTGACACTGCGATGGTTAAGTAATTGGTTTATATGTGTTACACGACGTCAAAATAAGAGACATGCATAAATAAATAAATTGATGGTCATTTACACTCACCTTATCTCCTTAATCATATTTCGTATTATGCAATGCCAGAACTGTCAACAATCCCTCTGCGTTTTTTGCATGTAAATTCTCGTTTCGTTAAAGCGTTCTAGTGTTGAACCGTTGTGTCCGTCTTTTTTCGTGTAGATGAAGGTGATGCTTGGATAATTTCTGCTTTTAAGACTTACATGTGGTATTGACATAGTTTGAAGTACTTTTATTGAAATATATTACAACTTTGTTTTCTATTTGAATGGCTCTATTGAATTGTTCATATAAAACAATAGATAACTAAATTGATGCAATGGATAATTATAAAGTTTAATAAGATAATGACCCGTCATTCAGTTTGAAAAAGCAATCATGACCTTGTCAGACAAAGCTTGCGAACAATGTCCAGTCAGGTATATATGAAAAGTTATTGATTTTTATTTACAAAAAGTAGCAATGCATATCTTACGTCCGAGGATTTCTTTATGTTATGATGCTTTGTTATTGTTTTCTAGTTGGCAATAGTGTTTACAACTCGGCTATCAACTTTGTACCCAAACACAAGTTTATTCTTGTGTGTTAGCATAATGATATATAGTTTTCCAATAAATTAATAATAAGAGGGTTTACGACTTGTCTAAAACACACGCAATCACACATGCACACTCTCACACCCACACCCGCACACACAGATCAACACCACCACCACACACCCTCACACATACCCCCCCCCCCCCTACATACACATAAATGAATGCATGCGTGTATTGGTTTTGTAACTTACTTAATTATGAAGATAATTATTAAAACAAATTGAGTTTTTTTTCTATCCCCTACCTTGATTTATTCACCACGCTGTAGACGTTTTCAGACAACGAAGTTGTTTATACCATGACGGTAATGATACATATTTCAAATAGATTAAAAGTATTTAGTTATTCATAGCGAGCATAGTTCATGTCTTTACCCAAAACTACGGTAATTATTTTCGTAACAATCATTTCAAAAATATGAAACAGTTTTCCTTTAACTAATCAAATAGTGAACCATAGGTGATCCTCGAAAGATGTAGGTACGGTGTAGTCTAGTGCTAGAACGCCGGTCTCGTGACCGAAGGGTTGCAGGTGGTGGGTACGAGTCACGTCACGG